TTTTTTAGACATTAATAGAAAATATATTGAAATCATAAGTTTTGTTTATTTAAACCAATATGTATATTATTAAAGAAACATGCAATGAATACAATTTTGATATATTTCATAAATAAAAATCGAAATTAATTTTGAATACGAAATATTTCTTTTATAAATAATTGAAGCATAAAACAATTCATAGAAATGAAAATTATTATAAAAAAATCATCCATAAAATTTATATACAACATTATCAATTTATTAATATTTTACTTTATATAAACGTTCATAAAAATTTTTACGTAAAATGGGATTATATGTTTAATTTGATAAAGAATCGAAAAAATATGCATACATATTATTAATGCGACTAATTAAAATCTTATATTTCAATATACTAATCGTATAAAACTTTTATTTCCAAAAATACTGAAAAATATTTTTTAATTTGTAATAAAAAGTTTATTTTTATCATAATAAGGATAAATTTTTTATTTTACATAATATAGACTTTTATTTGTGTATTATATATACTTATTGCTATATTTTACCTAATATATTAAAAAAAAATGAAATATAAGATTAATTTCATGAAAATTTAGCTTGAAAAAATTAACTTAAATATTTCAGTTGTATTATTAGTATTAAGAGTAATTGAATTATTTTATTTTAATATTATAATAAATGATTATATTTTTGTTTTTGCATTTCCTATCCATATATGAAATCTTAATTCAATTATTTAAAATATTTACAATATGTAATATATATATATAATATACTAATAAGTAATACATAATGTATAATGAAATATTCCAATATATTTTTATAATATAATAATGTATTGGATATTATTTAACAAATTAATAGAAACTTCAGATCAAAATTTTTGTTTTAAAAATATTATTAATATAAAATGTTAATTATATTTAATATTATTAAAAGTCAAATGTTGTACAAAAATAAAGTAATTAATATCAAATTATGCCAAACTTATATGGCAAACAATTAAAAAATTATAGTAAAAAATTCTGTAAGAACCTCGAAGATCATTTTGAATAAGAATTAAATAAATTATATAATAAAATATGTACAAACAATATTTTAAACAAATATTTAATATTTCAAATAAGCCAAAAATATTTTTAACCCAATAAAGCTAATTGATCTGAACTAACTTGCTCCTCATTAAAACATCGTTGTCAAAAACAAGAATAAACATTAAAATAAACATGAAAGTAATAGAATATAATTGTATAATAGAGTATATAACTTTTCTTTTTCTTTTCAATTTTAATGATTATTCTCAAGCCACAATGAAAAAATATAATTTCAGTATAATTTCAATATAATTTTCATATATATATCATGTAAAAACGTTTAAATGATTATGATTATATACTATGATTTTTAATATTCATTTACATGTAAAATATCAAAAACATGGATGCATGAGCAAATGGAAATTTAAAAATTGTAAAATAATTATTTGATCTAAATTGTATATATATATATATATATATATATATATATATATATATACAATTTAGATCAAATAATTATTTTACAAATAATATATGCAATAATTAAGTTGATTTAATAATATAAATATTTTAATAAAATAGTTATTATTTTTTGTCTTTAAATGTTTAATTTTACTGAAAATTTGTATATTTTATATTTTATATTTTATATTTTTTTAACAATATATAAGAGTTTTTACAAAATTTTTTATAGTAAGTAAACAACATTTAATCATTTGCTTTTTGAATATTAAGAATAATTTATAAGTAAAAACTTAAACTTATAATAATATTTTTTTATTAATTATTTACATTTGCATAGATCATTTTCATTTAGAATGTTATGACAGGACAAATTATATTTAAATATTTGTGTAAGTTCTAAATTATACAATAATTGAGAAAACTCGAAAAGGCAATAAAGAACAAAAGTCTAGTTACATTTTACATAAATAACATTATAAATCTGTTTGATTCGAATTATTTTGTTAAATAATACTAATTTTCAATCAATATCATCTATTCTGTAAAAGATAAAATAACATTTATAAACATTATATTATTGTAATTTATTTTTAATTGAAAAAACTTTCATTTGGTGAATACACTCTCAAGTCGATAATTTTCGGTCAATAACAAATCAACTCGAATATACATCAGAATTAATTAACTCCCTATTACTGTTAATCAAAGATTTGAGTATTCGCGTTATTTTATAGGAATTTATTATACATTATTAAAACAATCGACTTATTTGAGTAAAATGCTGAGTATGAGTTTTATCATATTAAAGTAAAGATTTTAACTAGAATTTTTCCATAACTATTGCTTTTCAATAATCTAGCATTCAAATCATATTTACCTAAAAACATACAAATGTTTAATTACAATATTATTATAAATTGTAAATAAAATTTATTAGCTTTTGTTTAACCCATATATTGTTTAGTACAGTAAATTTTCTTACAACGTTAAACGCGATGCTGTAATTTACCATGTCAAATAAATTACTACCATGTTATGTACTAATATAGCAATTTTCATTTCATAGCGACAGAGTGCTTTGTCAACGTAAGTACATTATTCTATTTCAGTGACTAAATGATACTTCTTCACTAATATTAAAGAGATGGCTTACAGTATAATATAAAATACAAATTTACTTTTAATCCGATGTTTTGTAGGGTTATTGTATTTTGTTCATTGAAAATGTTTTAGTTTGAATGATTGAATTGAAATATAAATTGAAATAAAGAAATATAATTTATTAGATTAAGTTTACTTGTAATATTCCATAAGCCGAATACGATGCTTTAACAAGTTGATTCTGAAATCGATTACATCTACGCGTCTCGATTGTGAAATAAAACCATGAAATAAAAGTGAAGAGTCTCGTTTCGAAGTGTTGTTTTATTGAATTTAAAACTAAGCTAATAATGCTCAAGTTTCAACTCATGTATGCTACATTCTTTCATTACATACTTCTTTAACATATTAACTATAATTAAGTATTATCAATCTGTTTAAAAGTTGTTCCAGTAAAATTCTTTTTAACTGTAAATAAAGAAATAAACACCTACCTACCATTTATTACTTTAATAACAAAGTTCAAAGTTACAGTAAATGTAATAGACCAATATTAATAATTTCTAATTAATCATTTTTATATAAAACATTATAAAAGGTCTGATTTACTATCTTTCTACGATTGCATAATTTCTAAAATATTGAAATATTTGTTTAAAATATTATGGGACTGTAAATATTATGTGCAACGGATGGGGAAATAATATTGGCACGATTACAATGTGATATAGGTAAGTGCCCATAAGAAACGGCGAAATTAATTATTTCTATATCCGTAAATTATTATTTCTATCTCTATCTACTTATAGTACACCGTGTAATAGTTTTGTATTATATTATTTGTGTTATTGTATAGTAACACTATTGTAAATATAAACTACTAGTACTTTCAATAATGCGCTTTATTTTTTAGAAATGTATACACTATATGTAATTGAGCTTTTATATTTATTTTTTAATAAACATTTATTACATACGTTATATTACTTCAACATTTTAATGTACAATAATTACTGAGAGATATAATAGTTTCAATTAAAATTAAATTAAATACAAAATATAGCTATTTAAACTTTAAAATTTACACAATTTTTTAATTACAATTTATACAATAATTTAATATAAAAATTAGTAGTCATAATAGTTTTACATACATTTGGAATGGGTAATTTTAAATATGTACAGCATATGTTCTGCAAATAAGTTTTCCGGATAAATGGAAAAATGTGAAAAACATATTTCTTTGGCTTATTCTATATGATTATTGAAAATGAGAATAAAAAAAGTCGCAGATAAACAAAAAAAATTTCTCAATTTCAACGCTAAATTAATTTTTTTTTCCCCCAGCATTTAATACGATTTAATTGAATTTTATGAATCTATTTTTAATTTACAAAATATATCTAATTCTGTTCATATGGATGTATTATTATTGTAAAAATATGTAAAAAATAAGTTTTTATATTTCATGTAGTAAATAAAGCATAATGTGTTTGTAAAATCTAATTAATAGTATATTCTAAACAATATTTAACTATTTATTAATATGTCTTTATTGTTTATTTTTTTAACAACTAAAAATATATTAATATACGTTTGAGCATGTATGAATTGATATAAAAATATTCAAATATTTATACAATTAAAATGGAATAAATAATTCATTTTTAAATAAAATCAATGAATCAATAGTACACATTAAATTATTCGTAATACGTATTAAATACTGTTTGCAATGATTTGGGAATAAACGAAATCGTTTATTAAAGATTCTAGATAAAAATCTTATGGTAATATATTCTTAAGCCAAATGCATTTAAATATCGAAAAAATAATTTTCATTAGATTCGTATCATTTTCATGAAGATTCGTTTCAATTTCTGTACATTTTAAAGCGTACTTTGACCAACTTAAATAAATCGCATCGTCAATATGAAAATCATCAATAAACTATGAAACCCAACATATAAAACATTCTTATATATAATATATAATTCTTATATATAATAAAAGAAAAAAAAAAAGAAAAAAAAAACTATTCGTTTAAAATAAGTCACAGGATGCTATTCGGTTTATAAGAATTATTACTATTATGTAACTTAATACTATTGCAATTAACGTATGATAATCCACCTACTTGTTGATCGGTAATGTCGTCGCCGGGTAGGATTTGTTGGTATGTTGGTGAGAATGAGCTAGTGAGCCACACGGCACTACCAAGACTCTCTGAGCTTGTCTCCATAACGAGCTGAAGCTCCATTTGAATTCTTTTTTTTTTTTCTTATTTCTTATCCCTCGTCTCAAGAAATTACCCTTTTCAAAATTTCGATAAAAAATGCCTTTTTTTTGCAATTTTTATTAATATTCTCGTTCGATTGAATAATGATTCAATTTCAAAAATAATATATAATGCATTCTATATTAAATATTACAAATTTTAACATGACAACAAGGCAAGATTTCTATTGTCGTATTAATATACCAATATCATTTATCTCACCTCCCCACTTCATTTAAATATTATTTAGTTAAACTCTTCGCAAATATCCATTGAACTAATTAGAAGAGAAAAAAAAAGTAAAAGCTGCGTGGTCGACTGCTTTTTAACAATCCCAAAAATCTCTAAACGAAACGATCGCCGTCTACTCGCACGTCGTCTGGTTTCCTAGGATATTCGTCTTCTTTATTCGTTCGCGCACACCAGGCACGCATAATCACTGAGTTATAAAAACTAAGCCCTTTTCTTTTAATATATCCTAAAAAGAGAGTAAGGGTTGTTTTCTTATTTTTTGGTACCGCGGTATTATCCACAGATCTTAGAACATAACAAAGAAACTGTTATACAATTTCTTGATTCCAGTAGTTTCGCGTTGTCGATGTGTTTCCAGTAGCGCGCAGCCTCTCGATTTGAGTGACAAAAAACGCGAAAATACAACAAACACGTCCTCGTACACCATGGCAATGCCCTGACTGAAGCGCATTTTGTAATACACTGATAAGAATGCGTTTGTATTACGACTAGCTGTCGTTATATTAGCTAAAACTCTTTGAGGTTTCTTGAATTTTGACGATGCTTGTGAATTATAAACTGCAATTCTCTTGTCCTTTCCTTCTCTTCTACTTAGGAAAAGTGTCGATGCTTTTCAAGATTGGATATGACGTTTAATATTTCAAACGCATTAAAGTTCTTCGATATATAATAATAATCTAAACAATAGTTAGAAAAGATTCAGTGATTAGATAATTAATTAATTAACTAATTAATGTATCGATATTGAAAATCAATGATAAAGTAGAGTTTTACATACTTTTTAATCTCTTATTACATTTAAATTGATGCTTAGTATTACTTCTTGGAATAATTTTAGGTTGGAATAAAACAAATCACCTTTTGCTGAAATTAAATCGTTATTTGATTAATAATGAATGAAAGAAAAAATATTGTTATTTATTTATTTTTCTTTTCTTTTTTTTATTTTATTTTTTTTTTCTTTCTTTGTTTATTTTATGAGAAAAAGCTTTCAATTCGAGTATGAGATGAATATAGTTTCCGTGAAAAAGAAAATTAATTTCAATACTATATGGTTCACACACTGATTAGTGTCTTGATGTTTATAGGCATCTGCCTGACGCGCTGTCACCACATTTTCAAAATCCTCCGCTCCATGGCCGATGAAAAATGGATAAATAACTGATCTTAATAAAGATGTAGTTATACAATGTACACCTTCCTCCAAAAAAAAAAAAAAAAGAAGAGAATATTCGTAGATCTTTGAGTCACTTGTTTGATTGCTTCACACTAAAGTAATACGCTGTAATAATTTATACAGCTACGTGGTTATTTAACTTCTTATTAATAATAAAGTAATCGCACTGCGACAACGATAGTTCACACTAATTATTGACAACTTAGAAATCTATTTGTTATCTGCTTCTTGCACAAGTTGAATCAATGAAATTAGAAAAACTAGCTGAGGTTGAGTGATTTGATTTTAATCAATTATACAGCACAAGAGTCAATGTCTCTCAAAAAGTAATAACCAATAGGACTGGGCCATTCAAATCTATCACAAGTGCACCGTCGCGCATTCTCGTTGCACTTACTTCTCGCTACAATGCCTGAAGCTCGACTGTGAGAAGAAAATCAACAGATACGATGACAACGACAACAACGATAATTAACGATCACATAAAAAGAAAGAAGGAATGAACAAATGATATAACGACAGATTTATATTATACAAGACATTTTTATATCTTTATATATACGCGTATTTGGAGGTGAATTGACAAACGCACTTATACATTTGTCTGCTCAACGAAGGCATACAATAGACGTGGAAGTGACGTAAAACAGTGTTATAGTGGTAACGAACCGCGATACAGTATTTTGAAAATAGTCGATCTACCCTTTCGGAACTCTAAATAATATGTCTAGTCAGCTGCAATTTCAAAGTTACAGTAACCCAATAGTGGATCAGCAAAGATTGAGAGCTTAACCAATCGGATACGATCTTAAACTGACCCTCAATTGAAATCACTCAGCAAGCTTGATTAGAGCCAAGCGCGTGCTTCTTTTCTCTCCCTCTATAAAAATCTTTTATAACTGTGCATTTATGTGTAGATATGCGTGGGTTCGTGTGTCTGCGTCACCATTCGTCACCATTCGTATTACATACGATTAGCTTAATTTATTTTGTGCTCCCCCGATTTTGTCGGTATCTACCTTCGACAACATCACTGAACGTCTTAACGAATTATATCGTTTAATTATGGAACTCCCGAAGCTTATGCTTTTAATCACTCACTTATCTCAAATTCATAGATGAAAAAACGAATACGAAGGAAATATATTTCAACAAAATGTTTATCGGAGTCTCTATTAAGGCCTTTTGTAATTAACAATTAAGAGATCTTATTTCATAACTATTAACAATGGCTACAATTTCAATGTTATATGCACCGCGATATTTTTCTTCAAAATTGATATTTTAGCTATGCATTTTAAAAATATGAGACGAGGGAAAATAAAAATTTTTCCTAATAAGAAGGAAGCAGAAAGAATATTCAGCGACGTAATCTGAAACAATGAACGTAGGCAGAATTAATTAATAAACAGAGCATACAACAGAAAGATATCAGGAATTTGTCATTCCTACTTCTTTTTGTTATAAGCAGCATTCATCAATCTCATTCTCTCTCTCTCTCTCTCTCTCTCTCTCTCTCTCCCCCCCCCCTCTATCTTACTTTCATTCATTTACATAGATCAACTTTTTTCTATTTCATATGTTTCTTTAGCAATATTAATATTTTATAAATATAGAAATGAAATCTATTCGTTAGAAAAAAACATTAATATTAATGTTTACAGAAATATTTCGCATGTCTTATAGTAATAAATAAATACAAGTAACAGATAAATTAATAACTCTTCCCAAGTATAATACAGTTTCTTTATTCGATGTAAAACAAAATATATATTTAATAGTAATAACTATTATTTATTATATACTAATTATTTATAATAAAATGACATACAATTTTAATTGACAATTCTAAAATATAAAATTTGGAATTGTATTACTGTGAATATTAATTTTTTTAAATAAGTTATTGTGTATATTAACATTTTAAAATATAATGTAAAAAGATAATTTAGTGAAGTATAAAAAAGTAAACACTACTATTAAAATTCATATTACAGTAAGAGTAAGAAAGATGTTAAATATTAATTTTACAGTTTCATATACAATGATACAGTCGTGAAAGTGAAACCAATTATAAAAGCTTTTCTAATAATAATAATAATAATTATTATTATATAATTTCATTTAAAGAAATAAAACAAAAAAAAAATAATAAATACAATATAATGAAAAAATAAAAAATATACTAACATTCTTCCATTTTTCAAATATAATATATCTTATATACATTTTGATATTTGCACTTTTACATGATTATAAAAAACAAAAACCAAAAGGGAAAAAAAGTTGGAAAAATATTATAAATATTGAATTTAAAAAATAACATTTTTAATACTTTTGAATTTATTTTCTAAACATCATTGATCTCTTTATTTATAATCGCAGCATTTTCATAAATGAAAATATATATTAATATATGTATTTATATATATATATATATATCAATACATAAAAAAGTAATAAAATTTGCAATTTTATAAAATTTCTAAAGATAGAATATATAGTAAAACTGCTTATCTTATATACCTTAAAAAATTGTTTATATATAATTATCATTTTATCAGATCTGATAAATTTGATGAGATTAAAAAATAAAATTATGTTTTAATTAAAATTAATTCTTTGCTTGGGTATATTAAGTATAGTACGATAAAAAACAGTCACTATAAGTAAATCTCTTGTTTTAATAATTTTTTAAAGTTTATATTTAAAATTTATATTATTTAACATACTCGTTAAAATGTTAAAATAATAAAATACAACAACAATCATTAATAAATTTTAACTCTTATTTTTTTACATATGTTTTTCAAATTTAAATGCAGATTCTAATCATTTCACGTTTGAAATAAAATTCAATTTAAATAGTTTGGAACGAGATTTAATTATTGCATCTTACAATGTATTACTTATTTAAGTTAATATATGTCTTGGCATTGTATATATTTGTTAAACACACAAATTTAAATATGGATTGTATCGACCAATGAATCGATAAATTGTATCGACAAATGAATTTTACATATTTTATTTAATTTTCTATATTTATAGTTGCATTTTTTTCTCTCTAGAACTTTTATAGATTTTATTTTCGAGACTTAAAGTTGCTTAACGATTATATATTTTCTAAACTCGGTAAACTTTTCAATTGAATGATTGAAAAATTCGATAGATTTTTTTTAAAATATTTGGAACTTGCCTCTTAAGCTTAAATTTCAGAATGAAGGAAAGTCTCTTATCTAGAATTGAGCACGTGACAATTTTTCGATGCATACAAAATATGAGAGGGAAGCGCGGCGCAGTTTATTACAGAGCGGATGTATGTATGTAGCGCCGCAAAGAGTGTCGGCGGAATGTCAGACGCAATTAGTGTCAATAGAAAAGGTCGACAATTTTCTCATCCACGCGCACATGACAAGGAACGAATGTTTCAAGACAATATTTCCACTTTATTTTTTATTATCTTTCAAGTACTAAATATTCGCGTTTTTATCGATCTCAGTGAATCGAACAGGTGATTATATATAATTTTTATGACGTTAGTCCTTTTAAACGATAGTTTATTAATGCTACATTGTTTTGCCGATACATATTCTTTTGTAACCCAATTAGACAATTACTTGAATTAGCTTTTACTTTCAACGGGTATCCCAAATTTTTATTGTCATCTCAGATCATATTTTATAAAATAAATAATAACAAATAATGTATTGATAATTTTCGTTACTGAAATAGCAGCTATTTTCATTAGCGAATATATTTAAAATAATATAATTATTTTTAAAAAATTTTTTAATTTAACTAAGAATTTCAAATATAAAATATATTTTTTATTAATGGGCTCATAAAGTAAAACATTTTTTATTTCATCTGACATATATTCATAGTATATCGCTAATATCATTTATGGTTTTCTAGTAATTATTAATAAGTTAAAGTTTAGGCTTTCTTTGTATTATTGAAAATGCATTCAACCATATGATACACACTAAGTTTCTTTCTTATTTATAATATATTTACAAATTTACTTATAAATTTCAAATAAGAGTAAAAACGAAAGTTAAATATAATAAATGAGTTTTCTATATAATATACCAAAATCATTAACCGACAGTTTTACAATTACACAAAATTCTTAATTAAAAAATAGATCGATTCCGTTTGAATTAATATTACAATTCAGTTATTAGTTTTAGTATATATAAAAAAATTATTAAGATTTATTTATTAAATATAAAAATAGTATAACATCATATCCATTACGTGTGATTCAGATTTCTTTAAATAGATTTAAAAATAATTTTTAAATTAAGTCAGACAATACTTTAGAGAATCATACGATTCAACCGCAATCTTTTATAATAAACTATTGATGCCATTTTTTTTAATTACATACTTTGGAAATAAACCAGTTTAGTAGTTCTTAATTACTATATAATAATAGTAAAGTAATTTATTTAACTAACACATAATCTAGTATTACTGAAGAAATTTTTCATCATCTGCTTTTATGTGTTTTATCAATGACGATGTAAATTAGAAATTATAAAACAACTATATATTTTTTTAATTCCATTCATACTTTTAAAATATATTTAAAATGCTAACAATTAAAGGTCTTGGTAATTAGTGAAAAACTATGCAATTCACTTGCTTATACAAATTAATATATTATAAAATATAATTGTATATAATTTACTGATAATCGTTTATGTTAAAAATGAATATTCTATAATATATTTAAATAAAATACATACATTTACAAAATATACATTTATAAAATATAATTGTATATAATTTACTGATAATCGTTTACGTTAAAAATGAATATTCTATAATATATTTAAATAAAATACATACATTTACAAAGCCATATTAAAGTTCAACTATTTCTCTGCTTTTTCTCTATAAAATGAACGCTAGTTTCATAGATTTTTATTTAATTAAAACTAGTTTTATTTATACATATAAATAAAAATTTATGAAGCTTAATTTTATCACAGTTAATTAATGGATCTATGAAATCAATGTGAATGGCACAAAACTAAAATATTAATATCGAAATACTATTTTCTATTTTTAATATTAGAATCACTTTGTTTCATGAAAATAGTTAAAAATACAATCTTTTAAAAGAACAATAAAATATAAAATTTTATAAAATATTTATATGCATCTTACGTAGTTTACTCAATTTGTAAAAAAAAAAAAAATAAAAGTATTTTAACATTATTTAACATTATTTAACAAATATTCAATCTAATTTCTTAAATAATTTATAAAAGTAATTATATATTATTAATTAATGTAATTAAAATTAAATAACAAAAATGTATTCTATTTATAAGTTATTATTTATATTTTAAATATATATATATATATATATATATATATATATAAATATTCAATTTAAGCACGGAGTTTATTTTGTTGAAATCTATATTATAGTAACAATATAGAATGTATGTCAAATAACAAGTAAAAAATACATTATTCGAAAATATATAAATACAATTCATTTGTTATAAAAATTTTTAATAATACCTAAAATATTTTTATTATATATCAGCATTGAGTAATTTCTGCAATTATTGGCCCATTATATTATATGTTAAACTGCTAAAATATTTATTCGAATGTCATGTAAAAAAAAAAAAACAAAATTTAATCCATGGTCTTAACATGCCAAGATTTTGTAGTACATTATCGTTTTTTACTAACAAAATATGTTTTTATACTCAAAACGAGTTTGTAAATATTATCATATAACCATATTTCGTCACAATATTATTTTAAATTGTATATATAAAAAATATATTATTTCTTTTAGTATAATAAATTATACATAACAAATATAGGCTTCAAAGCTTTTAATTTATACTTAATCAAAAACAATGTTTTACATACATATAACAAAAAATGAATTGATTGTATATTACAATTAATAACTATACATTTAGTTTATGTATTTTTAATTTTGCTCGAATTATTATTATATTTCAGTGTAAATGTCGTTGAAAATATTTTAAGTAAGAATTATTTGGTATGTTGCTTAATTACAGTTCTCATATGATGAATTTAATTAGTATTGATGCATGAATTTAGCAATCCCTACAAGTACTTTCATAAACATTATTGTTTTATTTATGAACAAAACTAGATATATAATTAAGAACACGTATAACAGTAACTATTAAACTTTATAATTTAAATAACGCTTTAAACAATAAACATATTTTATAAATGAAATTCATCGAATTTCTTAATTATTCATTATAAAATTAATCAATATTAATTTTTTAAATTGAAATTAGGAAATAGTTCAATATTTTTTCAAATGATAGAATTATTAAACTGAATAAATTAGTAAGACAATAACATAACATTCTCTCATGCTAAACGAAGTTGAGATAAAAAAAAAACGATAAAGATGACTTTCTTAATATTTTTATATGCATTATTTTTATTACTTTAATAATAGAATTAATATAATAACTTATTTAAAAATACAAGAAGACAACTCATATTATATTTTTTTTTTACATAAGCAATAGAATCATTTATTAGTTTGCCTTTAACATAAATATATGTATAATTAATTTTATATAAAGTTTTTTTTTTAATTAAAAAAAATTTAAACTACTACCTTTCTAACCATTTTAAAGTTAAAATTGTTGAATACAATATTAAAAAGTATATGTTAAATTCGACATGTATAATTTTTTTTTTTATTTTTTATAACAAAAAATTAACAAATTAAAAATTTAATGAATTATTTAATTAGTATAAAAAATATTATTCATTTTATACTAATTTTATTTAGTTTGTATACAATTTATATTTCATTGTTATCTAACTCAGAATCCAATACAAACATATCTTGATGTTTTCATATTAATATACTAATAATTATTTTGTGCAACATTTTTACTATTATAAATAAATCATAGTAACCACTATTATGTAATATTATTTACTTTTTTTTTTTTTTTTTATAAATTAATTAATTATAATTCATAGAATTTTTATAAAAATTCTTAATATTCTTTTGAATTTCAAACAGTAAATTATTTATAAAATAAAATGTAAAATGTGTATTTCAAACTTTGTTAGAAAATGTACTGATACGATTTTTATGAACCATCTATCCAACGACACTTCTCAAGAGTTTTACGACATGTGTCAAGCAGAAGAGAACTCCACACTTGATAGCGATGGTTTAATCCTGGTATTGAATGTAGAATTGCTTGACTACCGAGAATACCAGTTTGCGGATTAGACAGGCCGTAAAATATTCGTGACACTCGTGAATGAAGTAAAGCCATTGCGCAAAGAGGACACGGTTCCTGCAAAAGTATTGCCCAGTAACCTGTGCAAAGATATGGTTCATATTTACTATCTATTTTTTTCTTAAGATTTTTATTCTTCTGATCGGGTTTTTTAAACAATAAGCTCTCCGATGGAAATGAATCTTTTGTATTTAAACATTCTGGATAATAAGGAAACATTCGATTATGATATTTTGATTCAACAATCTTCGTTCCATCTTTAGCATTATTAAATAAGTTCCAGGACCCGCCACCCTGTAATCTAGCAACAAGATCTATAGCTAACATCGAAGCATGCCACATTGGATGTTTATCTATGCTGGATGCAGCCATTGATAGAATATTTCCATTCACAGGATCAACGATTATAGCACTTCCATTACAATCTTTTGTGCCAACTGCACTTTTTTCGGCAATACAAATTGCTATTTTCATATATGTCTCTAACGAACGTAATTGAGCATCATTAAATACCGATCCAGATATCAAAGCCTCTACGTAAGGATTTGGATGAAAATTTACGGGCCAGTATTTTAAGGCATAAGTCATCTGAGCTTTAGTTCTAGGTGCCACTGACGGTATATCGGCAATTTCATAATCATCCTCTAATAGAGAAATATCAAATCCATTCTCCACTAATAATGCCTTCAAATTTGTCTGACTGCCATTCACTTTATTAACATATGCTAAGTATATGCGTAATCCGGAACAACGTTTCAAATGTTGAGGAGTTGGTAAGCTGTTAGTCAAGTCGACAATCACTTTAGATATATTTTTCTTATCCTTCAAAATACCAATAAAAGATTTTTCAAGAGATGGCAATCGAGTATATTCATCAGGCAGAATTGGCTGAAGTTTCCAATTAAACTTCATTTGTGATTCATTGTCCTTTGACTTATCAGTGTGTTGGTGGACGGTATCCATTCTTTCGATTGGTGATATCCATCCATTCGCCAACTGCTGGATCACGAAAAAAGATGAACAATATGTAAAAGACTTCTTGGTGCTCAATGTGATTGTTGGTTTTCTTAATATTTACAATGAAATATACAAGACTAATTAAAATGTATAATAAACATTATCAAGCTGATAATATTACAACTATTTCAAAAACTTTTTAAGGATTGTCAAAATGTCATAAATATCGAATATCATAAAGTACATTTTTTTAAATTAAGCATTAAGATATTTTTTCGTAACCTTTTTAATTCTACCTATTTGATAATTTCGTTTTCGTAAAGAAAAAATTATGTTGCGAAGACGGTAACAAAATTATACAATAGCATGGACATAAAAATTTTAAATATTTTGACTCCTTACTACATTAAAAAATTATTAATATTAACTATTATATTAATTTTAATAATTTTAATTAATTAATAATAATAAATATTAATAATAAAGCTATTTTTATATTATTAATATATATAATTTCATTGATGTTGAAAAATACACACTTTATTAATTTAATATAAACATGTTGATTTAATTTTCTGTAAGCACCTAATTTATTCCTTTCTTTTTTGGAAAAAATAATTCCTTTTTTGAAAATAATAATTTAAATACATTCAAATTAACAAATTGAAAGATGAATACACAGTATAAAATGTTAACAAATAAATAGTATTTTATTAAATTAATTGTAATAATAAATATTAGACGAGATAATTTACTTTTATGTAATTATTATCTCGATATATTTATTTATCGATCTATTTCCTAGATTCTTAATGCACAGTAAAAATAATTATTAGAAACTCTTAATAGTCATTTTTCATGATTTAGACACGTAGAACTCAACGCCTTTTGTTTACGTTAAATATTATGAGCCAATGCAAAAGAAGGGTCAATATTAAATTGCAGTCAACTTGGGCCACGGCCGAATCGTTTGTCAGTTATAAACATAATTGTCTATTGTAATCTACAATGGCAGTCAATGCTGACATATTTCCGGTTTTAAGGATAATCATTAGATTTTTAAAGTAACAGATTAAAATGTTTTAAAATTGACAGCCATGCAATGAAGATAGCTATGTACTATAGATAAGATATATATTAACCACACATACAATATAAAATTCTAAAAAGATAGGAATGAAGAAAAGCGATGCCGCTACAAATATACTTTAATTATATTCTAGCCTCTTACAAAATTCCATATATATAAAAGCTTAAATGGATGTATTCCGTCTCCATTGTATGTATGTATGACGAACATAAATATATGCAGGTGTATTGTATGCGTTTAAGTCTCTCTCTCTCTCTCTCTGTGTGTGTGTGTGTGTGTGTGCGCGCGCGCGCCCGCGTGTACAATAAATCATCAATGAAAATAGATGGTTATTTGACATATATTCATTGAATTTATTCAAGTATAATCAGAGAGATACCTAAAAATGCTATAATAACTGACAAGAAAAATCTAGATATACGAATTTTAAGTTTACTGAAACACTATCCAACTTGCCAGCTTCCATGTCAGTTCGTTTCAATAATTGTCGCAATGTGCTAGTTTCCACTTAATCTTATTTATTAATGACAGAAAACCCTTTCTCTTTTAAGGTAATGTGCGTCATTCGTGTTAAGAATAAAATTATTTTAATTTATTCAACTCAATCTGATGTTTAAAAACTGATGATATTAATAAAAATCAAAGTGTTCGGATGTTTAATTTGAAGCTTGAATTATACAAATGTAAACATAAAGTTTAAACATTAAGTATAAACACATTTTTTATTTTAAAATAACAAGCGTTATAAAGATTGCAATAATATTTTTACCAATTAGATTTTACACACAATATAATCAATATGATAACTAATCGCTTACATTTCTTTGCGCAATTATATTATTTTTATATTATATATATATTATTTTTTAAAATAATTGTTAAGGTCACCCACGAATTTTTAAACATAGTTATTAGTATTTATAAATAAATTAACTAAATAAATTACACAATATTCAACCTTATTAATAATTAACATTCATTTTTATATGTTACACAAAAAATTTGGATAAAACCAGGTAAACATTATATTCACGTTAATAAAGTAAAATTTAAGCAAACGAATTCGATTTAGCCGATAAGTTTCCAATAACATAATTCCATTAATATCGTTATTACATTTATAATTGAATATGTATATATAATTTTTTATATACTAAAAGTGTATAAATGGACAGAATGCGAACATATTGACAATAATAAAACAACTTCAATTAATAAAAAATTATTGGTATAGTGATAAAACTAAATCTTAAAAATATTAAAATAATAGAGACCATAAACCTGCTGGCGTATTAGGGCTATCGTATATACAAGATGATTTTCTTGCATTAAATGACTATTTGTGAAATTTAATATTTATCCAAATGAGAAAAAAAACTATAACCTCGTAAATAAATTTTATATTGAAAATAAATTATTTTTCTTTATTTTTATTAAAAAAATAATGTAAAAACTATTATATTTATATTTATTATATTAATACAACTATTGTAGTATGAATTATATAAATAGCATTTCATATTTAATTCAATTAAAATTTTTTAATATTTATTATTAATAATAATTGAAGCATGACTTGTCAATATTTCTGTAAGAAATAATTTAACTCAATCTATTCATAATTCTGTTGCACATAATTATATTATTCAATAATTTACATCATATTTAACTGTTAATTATAAGATTATATTATATGTTAATAGTGATAGAATTAAATATATAATCGTTTTAGTTAGTATAATGTAGAAATTCAAATACGTATTGCCTCCGAGTATTATATTATCAATAACTTTTTCAATTATTATTAATATAGCAATCTTATTAGCTAAGAATATAATATGCAAAGATACATCAACATATAAGAAATGTATGAAAATTTGATTAAGTTGATTGATAAATGTATATATTTGAAATTAAAATAAAAAGCATTACTAATATAAATTTCAAATTTGGAAAAGTTGTATCTCCTATATAAATATTACTAAATATTCAACAAATTGATTTTTTTCATTTGGCAATGTCATCTTCGAAGCTTTAAATGTTCTTCATTTTGCCTTAAAATTTTTAATTGATTCTACAGCTTCATATTCTTATAAAATCATATCATTTTTGGCTTCATTTTACTTATATCTAATTAGTTACAACATGATTTAAGACCTGTAATAACTTTGTAGATCAATTGTCTTGTCTTACATATGTATCACACTGATATTACATATTATATTTTTAACTATTATCAATAGTCAACCTTAAACATAACGTACTTCTGTTTTTAATACTTATTTTATTTCAAACATATTTGTTTCGAAAGTAAATAAATTAATCAATCTTTCGTAGCATTTTTAATTGTCTTATCACAAAATATTAATTCTTATAATACTCATGCACATGTAGATATCCATATGTGTCACTGAATGAAAATTAGACCTCCTCAGAAATTCGTAATTCAAACATTTAAAAATTAGAGTACATATCTTATGAAACTGTTTATTTATTAAAAAAATCATTTTAATTTTTCATTAATATATGAATACGAGTATAATGAAATATTTTCAATTTTTTTTATAATAATAATATATTTTCAAGCACTAATATATATACATACTAAATTATTAAATATATATGATAATAATTGAACATTTAAAAATTTCATAAATTTTTTATAATACAATTTGTAATTCTTTTAAAAATTAGTAGAGAAATTGAATGAAATTTAAACTAACAAGATTGTTTTTATTCTTTATTGGATATTTTCCAATCAGACGTAATTTAATTTATTATTATCAACTCTATTACAAATATAAATTTACAAAATAATCATAACATTATTAATTCGAGTACAACGATAGTGCATTTTTTATGTATTTCCGAATGAAATATATTTTAATAAAAATAAAATTGTAAAAAAAACGACTTCTTACTATATTATCTATGAAAATATCGAAAAGATGAAGTATTTACTTTATGTCTGTTAATTATATTTTTATCCATTATATAGAATATATTTTATTTTGTGCAAAAATAAAAATTAAATTAAAAGCTGCAATTCGTTATTAAGTAGGTTAAAAATATCGGTAATTGAATAAAATTGGATTTATACAAAGTGAAACTATGTTTGTCTTATTTACATTTTATAAGCTACTTACCCAGGTTTCTTTTTCCTTTTTTCCCAATCACTATTTCTTATTGCAATTGATCTTTCCAAAAATTAAAATTTTTCTTTTTACTTATTCCTCATCGAGTTCTGTACTTGTTCTTGCAAATGTATATGCACACTATACTTTTATGCATACATGATCTTCCGATATCAGATTGGCGACGATGACGACGACGATGGGACAAAACATAAAGACGTACTTGAGTTACGTCTTTTCTAGGTTAAGTTATCAGGGATTTGTAATATATCCACACATTCATTAGCAAATCTCCAAAGATCGATGATGAATATTCTATAAGAGAAGAAAAAATATGTAATAAGATGTGACGGATTTTTTGTTTTTGTTTTTTTTTTTCAATTGTAATAAGAGAACAAACAAAACATACAGCGACGTAACAATAATGAAAATTATAAAGAGAACTTCGTGCTACTAAATTATAATTCATCTCATTCGATTAACGATCACTTAACATTGTAGTAAGAATTAAAGAAGACGCTAGCGTTATCTAACGAATAACGAATGAAGCTGATATCGGATGCTTTAGAATGTTTTTCAATTTATAAACATGGCTAGATTAATCGTTAATTTAATTTAAGCGAATGTTCTCTACAAAATGCTTCACTAAATACAATCCTAAGATCAAAAATTATACTAAAATAATTGATAAAAATCAATCAAAATTACGGGATAAAAATTTATGACTTTTGAAGGTTACGTGAAACAAATAAAATCTTAAGTATTACAATCTTATAATATCGATAACGATTAACAACATTAAACATTATACTGAAGAATTTTTCTTTGCCTTCAAATAATGTATAATTAACATCTCAAATGTGAAATCTCAAATTGCAGAAGCAGCAATTATTTCAATATAAGAGTTAAACTGCTAATGATAAAATTGTAAACACGTGTAATACTCTTATTGTCCCAGTAATGAAAATTATATTGAATTATTATATTTCGTCAATTGCTTCGTTATTATGAAAATACCGAAAAGGAAATTATCAAATAATTTTATTAGAGCAAGAAGTGCAGTACAATTAAAAAAAATTCGTAATGCAATAAAAAACTAAAAAATCAAATGCAATAAAGATGATTTCGTATTTTTTTTATATCAATATGTATCACTTGTTAGATTAAAAAATCTAAAAACGTTAAAATATTATTATATCGTGGGATTTTAAGCTATTGATTTAAAGAGCCAATCGATTAACAACGAAGCTGCGCCTGCGACGGAGCTTTAATGCATGGATCGATCGATTACAGCGACGACTGCTAACGAGTAAATCGAGTCGATTGAACGATCTTGCCTTGGTTATAATACAATAAAGATATCGTCTGTACCGTCGCATATTAATTTAATCGATTGATCGCATTTAACACGTGGATTTTAAATTGTATTAATTTTCACTAAAGGATTCACAATTTATTCTCAATAAGAGAATATTTTGTATATAAAACGCATAAGCCATTATCGCGTTTAGTTGAAATAAATGGGTTTATTGGTTAACTTACATAAGCCCTCTTAGATATTATCAACTCGGCATACATTGTTCGTTATTCTTAATATTACCAAAATTATTAAGATTGATAAATTATTTAATATTTCTATTTAATTAATAAAGTAAAATATGGAGTATTCACCATTAGCATTGGACACTCTTACGTCCGATAAAGCACTCATTCTATGCTGCGAATGTGGAACCCAAATTGAACCAAATCCAACTAATATGTGTGTAGGATGTTTACGAACAAAAGTAGATATTACTGAAGGTATACCAAAGCAAGCAACTTTATATTTCTGTAAAAAATGTGAAAGATATTTGCATCCTCCTGGAGAGTGGATAAAAGCTTCTTTAGAATCTCGTGAACTCATGACTCTGTGTTTAAAGAAATTGAAAGGCCTTAACAGAGTGAAACTCATTGATGCTAGTTTTGTTTGGACAGAACCACATTCAAAGCGAATAAAGATTAAACTTACTGTACACGGTGAGATAATGACAAATGCAACTTTAGAACAGATTTTTATCGTAGAATACGTTATAAGTAATCAAATGTGCGAAGATTGCCATCGTACAGAAGCTAAAGATTATTGGAGTGCTTCTGTACAAGTACGTCAGAAAACTATAAACAAGAAGACCTTTTACTATTTAGAACAGCTTATTTTGAAACACAGAGCTCATGAAAATACCATTGGTATCAAATCCGTTCATGATGGATTAGATTTCTTTTACAATACTGAAGCTAATGCAAGAAAATTGGTGGATTTTATCATATCTTTTTTACCTTGTCGCTATCAGCAGTCAAAAAAGTTAATTTCTCATGATATTCATAACAATACGTATAATTATAAATTTTCTTATAGTATTGAGATTGTACCAATATCGAAAGATAGCGTTGTCTGTTTATCAAAAAAATTAACTCATCAGTTGGGAAATTTACCTTCGATTTGTGTCGTATACAGAGTTACTAGTTATATAAATGTAATCGATGTATCTTCGGGTCAGATAGCAGAGATTAGCTCTAATCTTTATTGGCGATATCCATTTCAAACTATTTGTAATCCAAAGCAATTGAAAGAATATATAGTGATTGATGTGGAACTGATTAAAGAGAAAGATAAAAAGAAATTTCCAGGACAAGGCAATATTTCACACAAATTTGCAATTGCAGATATTTGGGTGGTGAAATCAGAGGATCTAGGGCTTGATCAAAATACAATTCATACTAGAACACATCTAGGTGGCATTCTTAAACCAGGTGATTCGGTTCTTGGTTATGATCTTAGTGGAAGCAACATTAATGATGAAAATTTTGAAAAATTAGATCAAGATACAGTTCCAGATGTTATATTAATAAAGAAATTTTATGGCACTAATAGATCAAGTCATCGCAGAGCTAGATTATGGAAATTGAAACATCTTAACGAAAACATGGATATAAATTCTGAAAATAATGATTATAATGAGTTTCTCGATGAACTTGAAGAAGACCCAGAATTAAGAGCAAATATCAACATTTTCAGAGATAATCAAAAGCAAATTAACAATGACACTAGTTGCGATGATTCAACATTACCACAAATCACATTGGAAGAAATGCTCGATGATCTTGTTATTACTGATTCAGAAATGATTGAGTAATATGTTATAAAAATTGAAAACAATTTCATATATTTGTATTATACTTGAATAATACTGTTTCAATATTAAACTGGAATAATTAATTAGAAATAATTCTCATAGCATAATTAATCAGATTGATAAAGCACAAAAAAATATTCATTTATATTTTGTTTAAAGTGTAAAAAGTAATTTTTAAACAGGGAAATCATGTTATGTATGTGTATTCTTATTATTTTTTTATTTTAATAAATACATTTTTAAATGTATAAATACAGAGAAATTTTATTATAAGTTTTTACGCATGTTTTTGTATTAAAATGTGAAAACTAAAAATAATTACAAGTATATAAATATTATATTGAAATTTCTAAATACTACTATTATATACTATATAAAACAAAATTTTGTATCGAAAATGTTTTTTTTTTTTAATTATTTATTAGATATTCCTAATCTATTTTTTTTATAGTATAGACGTATGTAAATATTATATTGAAATTCCTTAATACTACTATTATGTACTATATAAAACAAAATTTTGTATTAAAAATTTGTTTTTAAAATTATTTATTATTTTTTTCCAAATTTTACACATACAATTAAACAATAAATATTCAAATCACATATATTCATATTATAATGATATTATAATGCTTCATACCCAAATATATCTATACCACACATATTTTGTGTAATTAAGGAAGTAAAGTAAAATTCTTATTTTAAGAATATGCCAATTTAAATATATTAAATACATATTTTAAATATAAAGTTAAATTAGTATTAATCCATTATAATAATTACTAATATAAATAAATTAGGTAGGTTGCTTTAATATTGACAGTATATAGATATTAATTAATTTAATTTATAATTTATAAACGAATACTATATTTTAAATTGTAAGAATTGTTTAATACAAATTTGCATAATAAATAAATTAAATGTTAAATTCATATATAAAAAATCTACCAAATTTACAAACAATTATGAAAACAAGATAAAATTTTTATAAATCATAATCAAAACATTTTAAACACTTTTTATGCTGCTTTTGATTTTAATTTTTTTATGTAGAGTTCTTAAATTTTCGCTCCATTGGAAAGAATATAATATGAACATTGTTTTGTATAATGCGGACACGTGCGCAAGAGTGATTTGACTTTTCTATTCATCCACTCATAGCTTTCCAGCTCGTCTGCTAAAGTTGTGTTTTTCACTTCCAACTCGCTATTTAAAAAAAATGGAAGCGGCTAATACGTGTGCAAATTTTTTCAAGTTCGCATTCTTTATCTTATTCTTTCAAATTAGCTTCATTAATGGTAAATATATGTTTATTAATTTTAGTTCGTAATTTTTTATCTGCTATAATTTATAAATACAGTAGTATTAATGTATATAACCTTAATTCATGATGAAACAGTTTGAAATTTATTTTCACTATTTATTTCATTTACTAAAGTTTCAGTGTTTTATATCATTTTCTACCTCCATTTATTATTTTTTCTCTTATTATAGATGTTTTGGATTTTTTATATATAACATAATTATTGTCAAAGTCTTACTCAATTGCGTTTTTCTTAAAATATTTTCAATATATATTTCTATAGATTATGAAAATGTTTAAAGGATTTTAAATTAATTTAATTACCATCTTTTTTAACATCTAATTGATATAAAACTTAAAGAAATAGTTTTGGTTGTTGATACTAATATTATCATTATTATTATTGTAGGCAACGAATTAATTTGTTGGTTCAATTTATTATTTGGAATGTTACGATCAATAAAATAAATTCATATTATATCATTTGAATCTCATATAGATGCGAGTGGCTAATTATAACAATTTGTCAATGTTATTCAATATAAAAAAAATAATTTTCATTTTCTATATTTCAGCCAAGGGTACTACCTATGTGACCTACAATTCAGTTGTTAAATTGTTAAATGTAGATTATAATGTAAGGTTGCATTCTCATGATATTCAATATGGCAGTGGGAGTGGACAACAATCTGTGACAGCAATAGAAGCAAAAGAAGATGGCAATTCATACTGGCTAGTTAAAGGTCCCACGGGAAAGCAATCCATTAGAGGGTAACATTTTAAAACTTTTATGTCAATTTTAAGTTTAAAATGCAATTTCAATATAGAAGTTATTGTTATAGTATAGCTTAGAGTGTATATATTTTGATAAATTTTAAAAAGGTAAAATTATAATTTGATTTATTTTTAGTAAGCCAATTAAATGTGGAGATGTTATACGTTTTGAGCACACAACAACAAAAAAAAATCTTCACTCTCATCATGTAAGCTCACCTCTCAGTGGAAGGCAAGAAGTTTCAGCATATGGAAATCAGGGAGAGGGTGATACAGGTGATCACTGGACAGTTGTATGCCCAGGCACCCATTGGGAAAGAGACGAAACAATTATGTTCAAACATATAGATACTAATGCGTGAGTAAAATTTTAGAAAATTTATTCTCTTTAAAAAATACTTTTAAAAAACTGGATTAGGAAACATAATTTTACTTTAACAATATTTTTTGTTAATAAAAATAATATATGTAAATCATACAGCTTTGTTTAAGCTTTGATGGTCAAATTTATTAATTCACCGTTATTTATATAATTTAAGTACAATATAATATAATAACAAATTCAGCTAACAAAAAAATTCCAAAAGAAAAATATTTGAAATTTGTTTTTACTTTATTATTGACAATTATGCAGATTCATAGAAAAAATTAATATTTTTTGATAATTATTATATTTTACAAGAAAAACTAGAATATTTTTCTTTTGAAATAATAAAAATATATTTTTATAATTTTTACTCCTATGTTTAATTTAACTTTCTAATAATACAATTAAATAACCCTTAGTAATGTAATGTAATAAATAGTTAATTTTATTAATTATAAAAATTTTAAATTAAAGTATTTCGATTTTATATTATGTAAATCTTTATTTACAGGTATTTGGCAGTTACTGGGCGAACGTACGGTTCACCAATCTCAGGTCAAAATGAAGTAGTAGGCGAATATTCAACCAATAGCTATTCAAAATGGCAGGTCATGGAAGGGCTTTTTATACATCCAAATGACTTTATATCACAGCATAATAAACATATTGAACTGTAATAACATGAATATCCTCTCTTTTTTTGTTGGAAAAGATTTCTCTGAGCTGGGTTATTTTTTCAATGTGTTATCGTGCGAGTGCTATGTAAATATATGTGCGCTATAGCAAAACAGAAAATTTTAATTATTTGTAGCATACAGAAAATAAGTTGACATATACTTTGATTTAAGAGGAGACTTCGATGAAAGTTACATAAATGAAACATGCGATTGTGGATGAACTACACATGTGATTTAATTGATTTGAATTTATAAAAAATAAAATTCTTTTTATATTAATATATATTTAAAATCCTTCATTAAATATTTTCCTTTATGAACAATATTCAGTAAAAATTACGATTGACACTTTTCAATAAAAACTGTGTTTATTGAAAAAAAAAGTCATATTTAACAAATATATTATTAACAAAAAATATTTACAGATTTTTATTTAATTAATTTATTAATAGATCTTTAATTTTCAGCGACGTTTCCCCTTTATACACTCTTCAATTCATACTTTTCGTCAATATTCCTGGAGTGCAAAAATCCATTGAAAGGAAATATTACGTTAAATAATCCGTAACTTCCAAAGATTTCATAAACATCTTGCCGTTTTCCATCATCAGGGTGATACCTTTGTCTCCCGGATAAGCAAGTATATAATTTCCAAAGTCCATAAAGAAGAGTAAAACAAGCAATAGAAACTGAGACATTGAATAAAGTAACTAAAAATACATTAATGCTTTCATCGCCAATCACTAAATATTTTGTCAATGTAATTGGAAAAAAGAAATTCAAAGCAAAATAATAAATGTTGAGTTTAGTGGTGTCCAACTGTATATAGTAATCATATAGATATGGGCCGACTATAAATATAGAATAAAAACAGGCAAAAGAAGCATAAAAGCAAACTAGAATAAAATTTCCCATATTTTGCCGCAATATGCAACCTCCTAGGAAAAAACAATGATGATCACGATAATAAAAGCACTTTTTACACAGCATACAATGCTGAGCTGGCCTACGAGTATAATGTTTGCATTTTTCACAGTACCAGAATCTTGTTCCTTTACCTTCACTTTCTCGACAAGTGGCCATAGTAAATGGTATAATAGCTTTTTTGTTTATATTATAAACAAGATACCAATTTAAATAGAATTGAACCGACAAGAATACAAACAATGGTGGTATAGTATTTTCTAAATACATAGTAACAAAGCCTATTATCAAGCTAAATAATACTGTTAATGTTGGACAAATTACATAGGCAATGTAGTGTATTTTCTTCATTCTTCGTTTAAGCAGACGCTTTTCCAGCATGAATCATTTTTCTAAAATTCCAAAATATGTCTCATAAATATTTTGTGTTTATATAATTCAATTGATTAAAATGTTATGAATTTAGAAAACTCACTCACCTTCAATCATTAGCCATATTGAAAATTAAATGTAAAATTTATTCATATGTATTCGCCATGTTTCTGAAATTTCATTAGCAAATAAGGTACCAACGTCAAAAACACTTACAAAATATATTCTAAGTATATCTTTTAATTAAATTAGAAGATTCACCGAACGTTCGGATAAAAATAACACTCGATAAAGTCAAATATATTTATAAAACTAGAAGCAAAGGTGGCTTGATAGGACACATTTGTCATATATATGCGTAGAACGTATTAAAATTTAATTTACTTTAACATAAATATAACATTATGCAATTAATTTCTTTTCATTTAAAATCCTTCTAATGATAAGAACAATAGGAGAAACTAACCGTGAACATGGAATTTGAATTATTTGCTGTAAAATAATATAGTAAACTTTGTATGTTACAATACTGAAATAACTCGTAATCAAATTTATTTCAAGAATTTATTTCCAAGCAGACAGGATGGCGCGAAGTACAAAAAAGTAAATACTACTTTTAACTGCTTTTATGCAATGCAATGTGATCGGGTTTTTTTAATTTTTATACTAATTTTAAACTTAAAGTAATTCTATCTTATTGAAATATTTTCTCATACTGTTAAATTGATGGATATTTTCTATATATCTATATGGTATATGCATAAGCAAAATACTAATTTTCATATTAAAATTCAAACTGGAATAAAAATATTATTAAAGGAATCAGAAATTTTTTAAGAAAGAATCGTATTATTTTAATTAATTTATTTACTTTTTAATATAATAGATCACTAATGTCATCATGTATAAATGGTAATGTACATAATCGTATCTTGATGATTCCTAGCAGAGATCTTAAAGTCTTAACTATATAAGAATACAATATTTGTTTGTTTATGGTTCAAAATGAATTATTCAAATGGCACTCTGACTTTTTCATTCGTGACGCATATGAATTGCCTGTACAAGTTAAAATGTAATTATTAATTAATAAGCCATAACTTAAGGTAGACTACCTTAGTTTTGTTTAAAGAATATTACCAACAATTAACAAAATCAAGAGAGAAAAGATTGTGAATTAATCGTGGTCATTTAATGTACAATTTGACCAATTATTTTTACCAATTTATCACATAATTATTTTATACTTTTCTTGTCATCAAAATTAATCGTTTATTCTACTTGATTTTTTTAATACTAAACATTTTATGTCTGACTAAATTTTTAGCATCATTAGTTCAGTTCTCTTAACACTACTATAAAAAAAAAAAGAAGAAAATTATTAATAATAAGGAATGAAATTGTTAGAGTTCATTTCTACAATTACATAATGTATTGTTGTCCAGTAAACAGACTTGTAAGAATTTTTTCTTTAAAAATTAGTTTTGTAAAATTAAATTGGCGATAATTAAGTTTCTGGTAACATGGCAGTCAACTACAAATATAACACAGAATTCAATGAATTTTCTATTTAGAAAAAAAAAAAAAAAAAAAAAAATTGTTCATTTTTCAATAGACATACTATTATGTTCGTTTTTCCATGTAAATTCTTTTATACTGAATTACTTTGAGGTTTGGCATTTCATTAATGTACCACCTAACCTATGTTTAAAAATTTCTCTTGAACATAAGACATATTGTTTTTAATTTTTTCCAAACCAAAAAATTGTTTTAAAGAAAAAATATATTGCAGTTATACTATAAATTAATTTCATTCTTTGTTGCTGTTGCTGTATTTCTGATTCGATAGCCATTACTTGTCGATTTAATTTTCCAACCTGACGCCTCAAATGATGTATTTCTTCAACCGGAGCTAAAGAATTATCTAAGCTTCCATATCCCGGTGTCTGCTCTCTAAAAAATGTTTAATAATATCAAAAGCATATACAAACAACTGTTTTTACTATTTTAAGGTTTAAGGTATTTTAAGAGATATTCCATCTTAAATCTTAACAAGGTGATGATAATCAGTTTAAAATTCATTAATTATCATAATTTAATTGATAGATTTTTCTAATATTTTATTACATTTAATTTTGCATTAACAAATCGTTACTATTATTTCTTACTTCCTAGTGCATGAAAATAATTTGATTTTAATACAATCAAAAAAGAACACTAAGAACAATCTATAAAACTGTAAACAATCACTGAAAAGATTTAAAAATTCGACAATAAAGTAAGAGACTTTTATAGAATAAGTTAGGTAAAAGCAATTATAATTTAATTTACTTTCTCAGATAGAAAAATTAGAATTATTGTAGAGAAAAGGTTTGCTTGGGTAATAAGAAAATAGATTCAACTCTTATAAGAAATTTCTAATAACATGAAAGAATTTATAGTATTTTAATTGTTACATTCTTGATCGAATGATTAAGGAATATAATTATTACCTGCCATGTCTGTCAATAGATTGTGTTTCATTGTTAAAATAATTATCGGGTTTAGCATTAACTACTTCCAAATCTGTACCATTTTGTTTAAGGTCATCACCAATGATAGGAAAATAATGAGCATCTAATGTTAATATTTGTGGTGGAGTCTTAAAAAATCAAATAATAATAAAAAAAAAAATCAGAATAAAATAACTTAGATTTAATAAATTACTAATATCAGATTCTTACGCTGCATCTTATAGGAGGCTCATTATGCAAAACAGCATTCTCCAATGTTATTTCTCTTGGAGGTGCTTTTGTGCCAATGTGTTGCTCTTGACCTAGAATTAAAAAAAAAAGAAAAAAAAACCCTTTAAATAATTATAATATAATGAGAAATACAAATAAATAAGTACTAATATAGCAAGTAAATCATATAATAATTATCTAAAGACTGATATAAATATATTAAAATTCAAACATTACCAATAACAATAATTCTGTCTGGTACATGCATTTCATATTTTTCAGACATAATATTCCAAGCAGAACCGTTTGTTCCGATAACATCTTCATCGGTATAATCACCGCTAACTCTAATGCTCTTTGGTACTCTCATTTTATTATTTATGTCAATAGTGAAATTGGGATCAAAAAAATGGTCGGCCTCTCCATTAAAGCGAGTTGGACTGTGAGCATTAGCCATTATAATAAACTTGACAAAACAATGTTATAACATTAGACAAAACATTTTTCTTTATTTCAAGTATGAAGTAAATGTAAAAAAAAAAAAAAAAAAAAAAAAAAAAACTTGCTGTATAATAATTAAAAAAACAATATATAATTCATATTTAAAGATTTCAAAAATAAAATAATCAGACAAAAATATACATAATACATGTGCATAAAGCAATCAGAAAATTGAGTTGATAATTTTGTAAAACTCGACATAAAAAGAATACTATTCTTTTTGCATTTTATATTAAATTATTTTAATTTACCAGACAACAAGATCTTATGAGACTCGAATATTTTGAAGGTTTATAGCAAAATATAAACAACTATGAATTTAAGGAGGATATTAAATTTCGAACGAACATCTACGTAATACATGTTCCTTTATATATTGAATTAATAGCAAAATTAAAATGTAAAATTTAAATAAAAAAGTAAAAAGAAAATAAAACTTGAGAATCTAATCCAATAAAAGACTACGTAATAATACAAATCAATTAATTTTTAACCTTTATGTATGAAAAATAGTAATTTATCGAAAATAATGCATTACTATTCGTTTTAACTGAAATAATATTACAAAAAATTAATTAATTCACAAATAATAACTATTTCTTTACTTTTCGATTTGGACTACCTTTTCGTCGTTTATAGCACTTCCTATACGACGTATATCGGTATTTCGTTGTGCACTATGCAGTTTTGCGTGGTTTTCCCTCTTTTCCAACAAAGAGCCTGAAGTTTGTCGTGTTTATTGAATTTGTTGAGTACAGTGTATGCAATGTTGTTTGCTCAATTTAATGTTTTAAAATTATAAATTAATTAGAGCATATTTTGAATTAAATTACATTAAAAAATCTTTTTACTTCATTTGCAAGACAATTCTAGTAACTTTTACTTTCTAGATTTTCAAAACTGCCACGATACATTGGACTGGGTAAAAGAATAAAAAAGTAAAATTGCCAGTTTAAATTACATTATAAGACATAAGCATAATGAAGGTATAATGAATACGAGTGTGACAAAATACATTATAATTTAGTCATAAATTAACGATATAAGAAGATTTTAAGTTTGTTATTTGTTGAGTATTTTCAATATCCGTATGGTGGACAATCGGAAAATAATGTAATATTGTTTGCCTTCATTTATTTAAAAATAACTACTGAACAATATAGTAAAATGAGGACGGAAATAAAAATAAGTTGCACGTATAATAGTAAAATAATTATTAAATGTAGAAATAAATTTAGAATATAGAGCCCAGCAAGTTGCGTAATTAAAATCTTCCAAACCTGTAGCCGGAAAAGTAATTTGATACGCGATACAAATTATCTAATAATTATCTTATATTTTAAATAATAACAAAGGGGTTCTCGATAACTGAAAAAGTAATTTTGAGAATAAACGAAACCAGCATTGTTTAAGTATTCCTCTTTCCTATTTCATAATTCAAAAAAAAAAAAAATTTTATTATTACTACGCTCTTGAATGTCAATTCCGTGAATTTTGGATCATTATGCGCAAGTCTAATTAATTTTATTTTCAAACTGTAATTATTTTTATATAAATGCATTTATAATATAATATAATGCAAATATATGTATATAAAAAAAAAAAAAAATTAATTGCGTTCGTTTTACATTGCCTCGTTTGATTATACTTTGATCAAAGTCCGCGGCTCCACAGCAACTAACCAACTTCAACTATATTTCATTTCATTTCCCACCAGCTCTATAATATTACGTTACAATACCCTATATCTAAGAGTCCATTGGCATAATCATCTGGTGTACTACATTCTTCGTACTTGGTAATCCTCAATTTGCTTCCCGCCAAAAAACATTGCAGTTTGTCAGAAGTTATTTACGTTTTGATCCTTTGCATCGAAGGAATAATTTAAGTAACCATGGATGACAGTAAGTTATTCATAACATTAAAATACTATATTTCTATATTATAATTCATTTTATATTTAAATTATGGATTTGAGTGAATGTTTTGCTAAAAATTTGTCAATCGTCAATTAAAAAGAAATTACATTACCTTTGTTTATTTTGCTTTTCTAATATTGACAAAAATTAAAAGATTAGTAATACATTCTTTTGTCATGTATATAAAATCTATATATTTTGACAAATTAACAGAGGCTTGTTCTATGTGCAATAAAACTTATTTATCAATAACAATTGACCATAATGTGTATACAATCATTCAATGTTAATTCATTCAATTTTAAATAATCAAATATTAAATCGATTTAATTGTTAATAAGGCTGCTTTTAAGGCAATTAGTATAAAATATAATTTAGGTTAACTATACATTTAATAATTGTACATATGCTTTGTTAATATATTTATTTATTTGTTTTTCTTTTTTCTTTTTTTTTTTTTTTTTTTTTTTTTTTTTTTTTTTTTTTGCTATAATTTTATATTGCATAATTTTTTATTTTAGCTATAGCTTCACGAAGAAGCAAACGCCAAAAAATAGATAAATCAGGTCGATTACTTGCTCTTGAAAAATTTAAGAAACTAAAGGGTAGTAAGAACAAATACGATGACGATGAATTGGAAAATGTTTATGATGAAGTAGACGAAGAAGCATATAATAAACTTGTTTTGGATCGTCAATACGATGATTGGATTGTTGATGATGGTAATTATTTTTAATTTTTAATATTATTTTATTTATAATATTGTAAAAAGAAGCTTCGATGTAATAGCTGGAAACTTATTTATCAGATTATTTGTTTAAATATTTTCAAATTTTTTTTGCAATTATCTATAATTATTCTTGCTCGAATACTATGTTTTCTCTTTATATCATTTATTCTAATGAAAAGTAAAATAAAAACAAATTATGTCAAATTTATTTACAGACAAAAAATAATTTTTTTTTCATTTTAATTGAAATATGTTTTAGCGAACTCTTAAACATAATTCATTGTTTCGATTGAAAAATCATAAATTTAACAGGAGGCGGTTCCGGATATGTGGAGGATGGTCGGGAAATTTTTGATGATGATTTGGATGATGAGAGTGTACGTCAGGCAGCAAAACGTGAATATATAAAAGGACCAAGAAAGCGAAAACGGGATGTTAATGCTATGAAGAACGATGGTAGTATTGTCAGTATGTTCTCTAGTATGAGCAGTAAAAAGAAGGCGGAAGAAAAAATTTGTGACGATGATATCCTTGGAGATCTTATGTCCGAATTGAAAAAAGATACCAATACCATTAAGACCAAAGACAAGCCTCGCACAAACAAATTTCTATCATCTAATAAACCTTCCGTGTAAGAACTCAATATTTTAAAAAATATTATATATTATATTTTATAACTCTAATGAATAAATAGACCAAACATAATTTTATTAGCAACAAAAGTAATTGTAATCTTTGATAATAATGAAATGCTACCCTTTTTATTATGGTAGACTTAAATCAATACTGCTGTTAAAAATAAAATCTAGTTTATAAAGTAATGCAACATTGATTGTACTACATTTTTATTATTTTTAAATATATTATAATTTACAGATTTTATATAAATATGTTTGTGTTTAAATATTTATCTAAAATTAATTGCATTTAATATCCAAAGAATACAAAGTGCAATAAAAATGTTAAACAATTTAATTTTAATTAATATTTCAAAAGCTTGTCTATACATTTCATTTAAATTCAAATTATAATAGAGATATTTAAAATATGAATGAATTATAATTAGATCAGAAGATGATAAATTGCTGGCAAGTTTAACAAAACCAGTTATAAGTGCAAAAACTATCTTAGATGAATTAAACGATGAAATTTTGTATGATAAACCAGAAAGAAAATCAAATAATTCAAAAGTATGTAAAAGCGCAACCATCTTAGACGAACCTGAAGTTACAAGAAAAGAAAAGGTAGAAGAAATAAAACAATCGCCAATTAAAGCGAAGAATGTTACAATTGAAGATAATTTTGTAACGTTGGATAAGGAAGATGAAGGATTTTCAAATATTAATGAAATTTCAGTTAATGAAAATAAAGATGATATGATTAATGATGACAACTTAAATCAATATGTTGGTGATGTGAGTATATAAAATTTATATTAATAGAATATAATCTGTTGCTATTCAATTTGTATATTAATTTGTTTTTATTTATTTGTCAATATTTATAGTACTTAATTGAGTAGATGTTATGATTTCAATATATTTGATCATTTCTAAATTAAGTCATTCTTAAATCTTAAATCTTCTCTAAAATTCTACCAATCATTTTTCTTTTTTTCTTTTTTTATTTTAATCTTTTTTTTTTAAATGTATGTTTATACTATTATAAAAATAAGAATCGATTGAAAATACTATTTGAAAATAAGCAACAATAAATTTCACTATTTAAAAATTTATATATATTTAATTAATATTAGTCACATTTTTACTACTAACAAATTGATAAAATTTATAAAAAAACAATTTGAAAAAGTAAAGCCAACTCTTTAGATGTCATATTAATTGAGCTCTTAGCAGTCTCCCTTATATCAATGTTTTTGTTAATAGTTTACCCCATTAAATTGTAAATAATAAGTTTTTAAATCTTTGTAATACAAATATATCATCTATTTACCTGTCCATGCAGATATCTGATATTGATTTCGCTAGCGCGAGTATGGATACAAAGATACCTGAACTTCAGAATAAATCCGAAATGTGGAAAGAAAAAGATGCGGAATCGTGTAAGGATGGCATTAAAGTTTGGCAAGAAGATTTTAATATTGCCTGTGGAGACGCAGCACCAGGTTTAAGATCAGAAAAAAAATCCCTACCATTACCAACAACGGTGAATGCCGCTGGGGATACAGTGTTTCGTTTTTTTTGGTGGGATGCTTTTGAGGATCCATACAAGCATCCTGGACAGGTTTATCTGTTCGGTAAAGTTTATATCACGAGTCTCAATGATTATGTTTCTTGCTGTGTTAATATAAAAAATATACCCAAAAGAATTTATCTACTACCCAGAGAATACGTGAGTGAATTTTGTTTATTTTGCACTGTTATAAGCCATTTGAATTACCTAAATACATAATTCTAATATTCCTTAACTTCTTTATTCTTCATTATAGCTAATATAGATTATAGCTATTCTCCATAGAAATACTAGGTGGACTAATTGTCCATAAAGTTTGTCAAACAAAATTAAAATTAAAAATCTATCCTAATAGTAAATGATATAATCTAAATTATTAATTAAGTCTGTTGTTAAAAAATACAATATAAATATTGCAATTATAATTTATTTACATTTTAATAATTCTTAATTATTCCTTAAAAGAATTCGTATCAAAATTTTATATTTATTTGGAGTTTTGAAAGTTACCTTAACAAATAAATGAAGTATATTAATTAGGCGCCAATGTTTATATAGATAAAGAAAAGTGAACATTCAGAAGAGAACAAAGAGTCGAATACCATGATGAACGTCTACAATGAATTCAACGATTACGCTCGAACCCTTGGTATTCAAGAGTTTCGTTGCATCGAAGTAACCAAAAATTACGCCTTCGAGCGCGCTGACACGCCTCAGATGGCCGAATACCTTGAAGTGAGATATGCAAGTACATATCCAGCTGTCGATGCTGACTTCAATAGTCCATCCATCGAGGCCGTTTTCGGAATGTCGATCAATCCGCTTGAGCTCTTTCTCATAGAAAGAAATATTAAAGGACCCTGCTGGCTTGATGTTAAAATGCCATTATCTGTGAATAATGCATTTAGTTGGTCCACGATAGAGGTAATTTCATTGTTGATTCTGCTTTTAAGTATCCTTTTAAACGAATTTGTATGTACGTCTATATTTAATATTATAAATAACTGTATTTAAATTACTACCAATGTTAATTCAGTTAATTTACTTTATTTAAAATGGCTTGATTCATAGATATTCTATTGTTTGCTTTATTATTAATTTATATTAATAAAAAATTAATTTCTTCGAAATAAGAATTAATGGATAAATATCATTATTGCTTTAAAATAAAATTTTACCGTTAATTTGATTAACACAATTCTGAACTGAAATTTTTAGTATTTCAATGTCTATCGCTATTTTTATTCTATCTCCTTACGTAAAATCATATTTAATAATTCGATATTATTAAAAATATTGCTTAACATAAATTAAATTTATATTTAAATCCTTTTTAAAATGAAATTATTAAATGGTTTAAAATCACGTGATTTTGAATTAAATATAATTTCTCATTCAGTTATGTATTATTTACTTTTGCAATGTTTAATTTGTTTCCATTGTAAATTTTTAAGTTTTTTTTTCCCCCTTTATTAATCGTTAATTACCCATGGACCATTAAAACTAATTGAAATTTGGAACCAGTAATATTGTTTTTGTTAAGGTAAATTGTACAAAGATGGAAAATATTTCTGTGACAATGGAACAAACCAATACAATGACAATACCACCAATAGTAATTGCAACGATAAATGTTCAAGTATGTTTGGATTCAAAGCAGCAAAAAAATGAAATTGTAAACATTGGAATCTTGCTCCATCACAAGTTTGAATTAGATAAGACTGCACCAAAGCCACCATTTAACCAACATTTTTGCCGTACGTTTATTTCATAGTCAATCTTCAAAATTGAAAAAAAATCTGATCAAAAGTTTAATAAGAAAATATTGTAGAGTTTATCAATAAAGCCTTAAAGCTTTGACGCATTTATATTATTAAATTGTTTCATTCTTATGTAGTTACCATAATTGAGAAATTAAAAATAATGATTATCAAACATCAAATATATTAAATTCATCGATTAATTTTATTCAATTTAATTTTTTACCAGTATATCTGTTTCTAAATAATATTTTTGATAATATAGATATATATATATTTGATCGCAAATCAAAAAAGAATCAAGTTAGAATTTGATTGCTGGGTAACTTTTTAATTTTATTCTAAAATTAAAATTATTTTATAATATAAAAATTAATTTTATTTACCTTTTGTTAAAATTACAGTTGTTACTCATCCACGTAATATTAACTGGCCATTAAAAGCTCGAGATCGACTTGCGAAAATCACCCAGACGAAGGTCATACGCTGCGATACGGAATTGGATTTATTACAACAGTTTCTTGATATAATACAGTGTTCAGATCCAGACATAATAATCGGCTATGATTGTGGTTTTCAGTTTGATGTTCTAATGAATAGGATATATACATTAAAAGTAAAAAATTGGAGTATCGTAGGCAAACTCAAACGATTGACACCTCCTTCCTTAAAGGTGCGCATTTGTGTAGATATCCATATTACATCATAAGTTGGTTAATTAAGAAATCTAATAATAGTATATTTATAAATTGGAGTTAAATTAATTAATATAAACACCATTGATATTGCAGGGAAAAATGAATTTGAACCAAGTATTTTGTGGTCGACCTATCTGTGATATTATGAAATCAGCAAAAGAATTAAATTTAAAAGTTAGAAGTTATGATCTCGCTTCACTTTGTGTATCTGTAAGTATTTTGTAGAGTATTTCCTATTTAATCAGTGCTAAATAAATATATTTAATAATATCATTTTAAACTATAAGCTCATTAGAATATGACAAAAGAAAATGTATTTTAAATTTTGACGAATTAAAAATAAATTGCTATTTATTGCCACACTAGCGTCGCTATAATTATATGGTTAAAATTTTTTAATAATACATTCACTTTTTAAACACCTATCACAATTTTTTATCATATTATTGCGAATTAATTTTATCAAATGTAATATTTCATACATTTTTCATTTATAATATAAAGCAGAAATTATCAAAATTTTGTATCGAAGACTAGCATATTTTAATATTTATAGGCATAAAAAGGTGAACTTGTTACTTCTCAAACGCTTGATATTAAAAAATCAGAAATATATATATATATATATGTGTGTGTGTGTGTGTGTAATTTAATAATTTACATTTGAGGATAATTATGCTCATGATTTATAGGTTCTTAATAAAAAAGAATACGAGTGCAAGGAAATAAAACCCGAAGACTGTCCAATGTTCTATTCCTCTTTTGAAAAGTTAGAAAACCTCATTAAGTCTACAATGGTTGAGGCTTCTTATATCTTAAATATCGTTATAGAGCTTAACATTCTTCCATTAGCCCTTCAAATAACAAACATAGCTGGTAATACATTATCTCGAACTTTGTCTGCTGGACGTGCAGAGCGTAATGAGTTCTTGCTTTTGCACGCATTTCATAATAAGGGCTACATTACGCCAGATAAAAGAATGTCTAATAAAAAGAAAAATGATGGTGAGTTAATAGCCGCGCACGAAGGAAAGAAAAAGCCAGCCTACGCCGGTGGATTGGTTTTACAACCAAAAAAGGGCTTTTATGATAAGCTTATATTATTAATGGATTTCAATTCATTGTATCCGAGTATTATACAAGAATTTAATTTATGTTTTACTACTGTACCTGGTGCTGCTTACGCCGATGTTGAAGTAAGTTAAATGATATTTTTTCAACTTATGTGGCAAGAAGATTTTTATCTTTTAAATGTCTTTATTATCAAGTAAAATATCAGTTATATATTAAATTAATTACAGCAATTTTTGTAAAGTATCTCTACTTGTTCGTTATTTTACAATTTCAATTTACATTATTTGTTACATTGTATTTAATGACAGGTGTAAATAATATAAAGTAAAAAGTATAAAGAATAGTTGTAGCTGTATTATTATGAGTTAATTAAGTAATACCGTAGTTACCGAAGATACTTTTCTTTTGTAATTAATGTTTTATTATAAAAGTAAGTGTTTTTGTAGGATCTGTGCCTGCCAGAATCATCGGTCGAGAATGGCATTGTGCCCACTGAAATTCGCAAACTAGTGGAAAGTCGTATACAAGTTAAAAATCTCTTGAAGACACCGAACCTCAGTCCAGAGCTTAAAATCCAGTATAATATTCGACAATTAGCACTAAAACTCACTGCCAACTCAATGTACGGTTGCCTTGGCGCTACGCATTGTCGTTTCTATGCAAAAGGTCTTGCAGCTCTTATTACGATGAAAGGTCGAGAGATACTGCAAAATACAAAAGCTCTCGTCGAAAAATTTAATTACGAAGTAAATTTATCGCTTATTGCATTGTATATTAATTTATTTGTCGGATGAGTAGATACTTGTTTTCATTAAATAATTTTTTTTTTGTTTTTTTTTGTTTTTGTTTTTTCTTAATTATCCATTATTATTTTAATAAAGCTTCCGAGTATTGTTAATCAATAAATACTAAAATAATAAAATATTGGATTTATTATATAACATAAAACTTTTTGTGAGGGATTAATTCGATGTAATATTGTTTTAAATTAACTAGGTTATTTATGGCGATACTGATTCAATAATGATTAATACAAATATTTTGGAATACGACCAAGTGTTTAATATTGGTAGAGAAATTAAAAAGGAGGTTAATAAAACGTATAAAAAAGTGGAACTTGATATCGATGGAGTGTTTAAGTACTTGTTGTTGTTACAAAAAAAAAAATATGCAGCAGTGACAATGACTAAATTGCCAAATGGACAAATACATAACTCGAAGGAATTGAAAGGATTGGATATTGTGAGAAGGGATTGGTGTGGATTAGCTTGCGATATTGGAAAGTAAGTTACTTTTTTTTCTTACTCTATTTATTGTAGTTATAAAAAAAAGAAATGACTCTATATATTATTAACACTCTAATTTTCTAATATTATAAGTATCACAAGAATATTAAATAAAGGTATACATTTTGTTAAACTGTTTTCACAAAATTAGAATTTTAATTTTTATGTTTCATATGCAATGTTATTAATTAGCTCATAAATATCTAACGAATTTGCTAATGTTGTAATAATGGAAATATCTTTTTACGTTTGTATTATTGTGATGAAGAAATTGATGGTCATTTATTGCTAGTGGTTATCTATTTAAAATGCTAATGTTCTCAAATTATTTTACGCTTCAAATTCGTTTTATTTATTTACTCGCGTGCTTGTTTCCTTTACTCAAAATACTGCAAATTGATAAATATTATAAAAATCTGTGAAGCATATGTTGGGACTCGATGTTTATGTAAATCAGTAAATATCGTCACTTCCAAACATGAAATTGTAAGACGAAATAATACATTTATATTGCAGATATTTGCAATTAAGTTTGTTCAGTATCTAGTTGACGCATTTAATTAGAATTATTCATTTATTACTGGAAACTTTATTCGAATTTATTACTGGAGCTATGCTACTTTACTTAATAAAATACTTAAAGCATCGCGTGTCGATTTCATTATTTTCACTACCTTCGATTGAATTTAAATATAAGATTCCCAACGATACTCTTAAGGTGGAATTTTTTCGAAATATGTCTACAAAAAAAAAAAAAAAAAAAAAACGATAAAATTTTTTTATTTTCACATATAAATATTAAGATTTAAATTATAAATAAAAAATAACGATTAAATGCGAATGAGAAATCGATGGATTAATCAATCAAACCCACTGGTCTTTAACTTTTTTCAGCTCTAACCAATAAGTCAGTCACGGTAATTAAGAAAATAATACAAATTAATAAATCTGTATTTCTATAGCATATTAATTTATTTATCATATTTCTGATATGATTAATAATCAATTCAAGACTTGTTTTCTAATTTCAATTATAAATTATAAGATGAGATCTCTCATTAATCCATTGAAATTGCTATTAATATTTAGCAACGATATGTTCTTTCTATTTAATTTATTATGAAATACAACAAAAACTTTAATTATGAAATATAAGACTAATAATTATAAATAGTATGATGATTATTGCCTCTTGTACATTATTTTCACAATATTATTCGTATTTCTTTAGTCAAATATTGGATCAGCTATTGTGCGACCAGTTAAACGAATTACGCTTGGAAAATATTTTTGATATCCTGAAAAACATTGGTGATAATCTACGAGAGGGTAAGCTTCCCTTATCTTCACTTGTCATTACAAAACAGCTTTCAAAAAATCCAAATGATTATCCGAGCGATAAAAAATTGTCACACGTCCTCGTCGCTCTAAGACTGAATGAAAGTGGTAGTCGTAAATGGAAAGCCGGAGACACAGTTCCTTATATTATTTGTGAGGTAGACAACAAACCATTATTTTTATGCATTATTTATTAAAGTTACTTTAAATATTGCGTAAAGTGCTCGTTTAATATGCATTTCTTTTATAAAAATATTAGTTTCAATACTGTAAAATTTTAAAGGAAAAATCAATATTTCAAAAATATCATTTTCTAATCAATAAATTTTATCTTATGAACTATCGTTAAATTAAAATTAAAATTATTATGTACATTTGGCTTCTTTTCAATATTTAGTTCATTCAATTTTTAACACTTTAAAATGAGTAATATTATATATTAAATTTATAATACATAGTAAATTTAATATTTAAAAATGAATTTGTAATACTACATCGGAATGGCTATTATAAAGATTTTACGATAAAATATCTCCACGTTATAATTAAATGAAATATAGAATAACTTCAAATGTACGTATATTTCATTCGCTGTAGTTTAATATTGTAAAATTGTAATTTTATTTCAGGATGGTACAAATAAGACAGCTGTTGAAAGAGCATATCACATTGAAGAATTTAAGAAGAACGATATCCTTAAAGTTGATGTCAATTATTATTTATTAAATCAAATACATCCTGTCGTTTTAAGGATATGCGAACCAATTGAAGGCATCGATGATGTATTAATCGCTCAACATTTAGGTAATAATTGATTCTTAAGTTATAATTTTGATAAATACCTATAATATATATATATATATATATATATATATATATGTTTTTTTTTTGTTTTTGTTTTTTTTAATTTTTGGTTAATCCTCAAAATTAAGAATTTATTTACTTTTATAAATATAAATTTATTGTAAAGAGATATTTTTAAGATAAACAAGATTTAAATTATTACTAATATAAATGTATATATATATATATATATATATATATATATATATATATATATATAACATAAAATTTCATAACCATTTACCAACAGGAATAAAGGATTTTTATAAGCCCAAACGAATATTTATAAATGAAGAGGAAAACGAAATTCCAGTCTGTATACAAGATGATCGTTATGCAAAATGTCAACCCTTCAGTTTTATTTGTCGAAACAAAGAGTGTAAAACTGAAAATAATATTAAAACTGCAGTTACTGAATTTGTAAGTGCTGATAAACCAAAATATTTTTTTCAAACAAGTATCATTATTACATTACTTTTGTAAAGAAAACTTTAATATTAAAATTCAACTTTTAGAACGGATTTCTTCGACCATCGCTGGCGATGTGTTCAAATCCCGATTGTAATTTACCACCATGGAAAAGCGTACATGCCATTCAGAATAAATTACAAATAGATATAAGGAATTTTATTACGAATTACTACTATGCTGAAGTTGAGTGTGAAAATCCAATTTGTTCGAAAGTAATGAGAAGAATTATGATGGACACTCTTGGTAAATTACCCAAATGCTACAGCTGCCACGATGGCAATGTGCACAAAATTGTAAGATACAGCAAATTTCTTTTAAAAAATTTTAATTATGAATTTTATTGTAATATTTGTATTAATAATGGAAAAAAAATTTAAATAATTAATTTTCATTGATATTGTTTTTGTTATGATAACTCGATTTACTCATATTTAATAATTGATTCATTTTTGTTGTTGTTGTTGTTGTTTTTTTTTTGTTTTTTTTTTTTTTTAATTTTTGGTTAATCCTCAAAATTAAGAATTTATTTACTTTTATAAATATAAATTTATTGTAAAGAGATATTTTTAAGATAAACAAGATTTAAATTATTACTAATTTTTTAGCATAAGGAGACAGAATTATACAACCAGTTGAGTTTCTACCTTAGCATATTCACCTTAAATTTAAACCAATACAAAAGTAAGAATAAAAGAAATAATATTTTTTTGTATTTCAATTTATGTATTTACATTTATTTTATATAATAATTACAATTTTTCAAATTGATTAACTTACTATATAAAACTGATTTCATAATATATTTTGTAAATTCAATTCAATTCAATTTATTGTATAAAATTTTTAAATGATAATATGCATACTTATAAATTATTAAATGTAGTTATGGATTATCCAATGTAAATTTTTCATGAAATTAAATTAATGCAAACCATACGGAATTTTAATTCATATTACAAAAATTAACTGATTTTTATTGATAGATGTGAAACTACTATCGTCACAGTTAATAGATGCATATGATACTCTCAAGGAGTTTGTAGAAAAACAAATACAATACAATGCTTATTCAGTGGTTGACTTAACGAAGCTTTTCTGGCCGAAAATGAAGGAGCAAAATCTCGATAACACGAATAGTCTCGAAGAAGTACCGTCGATCATCGAAGTAGAAAATCTAATACAAGAAGAATTAGAAAGTGAAGATGTGAGTATTATACTATATAAAATTTTTTATAGAAATATTGAAGGATATTCTACAATAAATAACGTATAATGCATATATTACGGAAATCATATTTTTTTTTTTTTTTTTTTTTTTTTGTAAATTATTTATTTAAAAAATAAAATCATTAACGTTATTTTTTATTTGAAAGTTTTTACTCTGTATTTAATACAAAGTATTAATAAATTTCTGTTTTTTCTTTAATTTTAAAATATGTATTTTTAATTTTAAAAGAATTAAATAATAATTATTTTGATAAACAAAAATTTTTTTTTTTGTTTGTTTCAGAATGAACAAGAATAAAACATTAATTTTTTTATGAATTCTATGATTTGAAAAATCGAAATTTTATGCTAATGGACAAAGAAAAAAAATTTAAGTCCATTAATTTCTCATGCAAATAAAATGTTTGAGTAAAAAAAATATAATAAATAATATACTAAATAATATCTAATTGTTTATATATAAATATATAAAAAAAAAAAAAAAAAAATTGTAACATCAATGTATTTTTTAAATAAAATTTTTTCTATTGTATAATTTTTATTATTTAGAAATATCGTATTTCATAGTAGTCGATTTTATTTTTCACTTTTTTTTACATTGACATCGAATAAAAAAATTAATTTTCAAAATACTTTATAATTATTATGAATAAAATTCACATTTTATCATAATTTAACATTGTTGTTTTTTGCGCTTTACGTTAGTTGGCAATTACAATACCTATTTTATAACGAATATCTCTTCTATCTATACTTAGATAACAATTTACATATTCAGTTAGGATATAAAAATTAAAAGAAAATTGTATAATTGTATGGTAATTGTATAAAAATAATGATGAAGAAATATTAAAGCCAAAAGCGCAATTGTTCTAAAAATCAGTTTCAAGAATTTTTATAAACTGAAAATAATTTAATTGTCTTATTAAATAACAATATTATATACATATAAGAATATGTTAGATACAGAATTAAAAAAATGCTATGGAAAATATCAGAAATTTAGAAAGTTCAGAAAACGTACTCTTACGGAAACATTCATGATAAATAATATTACTTAGTATTACAATAGTAAATTACTTTGTAATCTGTGTAGGAAAATGGAAAATTAATACAAAACGTGCCAGTTTTAAGAAAATGAGATAGTCAGGATACTGATAATCACTTCTTAATTAGAGGAGTATTATAAGGATAAGTAATTGCGAAATTGCACGGTATCGATATAGATTACTTATATGGTTTAATGTGTATCAACTCATTTATCATGCATTGAGGTAATTGTATTCCGATGTTAGTATTCATGAAAAAACGTGACCGATTTAACTTCACAAGCTGCACAAACCAAAATTATTAATGAAATAGCTAATACAGACTCCCTATTAAGTAAGAAGCCCAGAGAGAGAGAGAGAGAGAGAGACTTACACAATTGAAGGGATAAAAAAAGCGGCTATAGCATTCAATGTTACCTTACAATGTTCAACGAAATTATATGATTAATTTTATTCCTAGACAATCTTATTCATTAATTGAAATGCAGAAACCTTCTCAAATTGATTGTGTGAATCCTTATAATCAAATAAAATATAGAACAGAGCAATGTAATAACAATATATGAGAACATAATTTAAACAATAGTTTAGATAAGCATTCAAAAAGATTTAGCTAGAATGTAAGAATAAATACAATAAACATTTATGATTTATTATATATAAATATATATTATCGTAAATATGTTTAGACCATTATTGTAGTGTGTTACACAACCTTTCTCTCAATGCATTAAATTTGTTAAATAATTCAGCCGTATGCGTTTAAGGGACTATTCTGTTATAGCATAAATATTTTTGTAAATGAATTTTTTGTTTATTAATTACATAAGGTAAAGTGTTTATGATATTAATTATTAAACGGGTATTCAGTAATAAAATTTTAATATAAATAATAAAAAAGAGTCACTTTTATAAATATTGATCTTAAATAAAAATAGATTGTCTTACATGACTATAGAAATTGAATTTTTTCATAATCTGATTATGCTTATTTACTTTCATTTTTAATCTAACAAATAAAATAATACAGGTATAGTTTACCCGAATTTTTTTCATATAAAAATCTTGTTCTACATTATTTTATTTGTAATTCCTTGTTAAAAATGTAGCCATTCATTATTGTTGCACAATAAACTAAATATACATAATTTGCTAATTATTATAATCGATAAATTCGTATCCTAATGGACAAGCTTTAACTTATATAAAAATCGTACATTTAGATTATTAATTACGATTATCGAATAAATTAATCATTAATCACAATGTCGATTCGTTTATTAGCACATGATTTTTTAAATTTCAGTAATCTAATGATAATAGAAGTTCTATATTCTAAAACCAATAATAATTAACAGCACTGATTTGCGAACAGTTTTAAAATTAATCGATTAAAAATATACTCGTCCTGTCATTTTCTACATACAAGTCACTTATCTATTATGTATGAGATCGCCTTCAGTAACGTTTGATATGTTGTAAAAATTATATGGAAGATTAGGAGGTAAAAAAGTAGAAAGGGGAGTACTGAGGGCGTTGAAATAGGCAGTAGCGCCGTGACTGCGTTCTCGGAATCCATTTGTCCCGGGTACCGGTTCCTGGATGATTGACGCTCCTGAGTTTGTAACTTCTGTAGCCTCGGCAAAGGTTTGAATAGCAGTGACGGAACCACTAGTTGGTAAAGTTTGTAAAACAATTGGCTGAGTAGTTACGGTTACATGTGGCACAGTTTGTATCACCTGTAAAATAAATCGAAAATATATGATTTGTACAAGTAAGCTGCAGCCAGGTATTCAATCATCCTTAACCGGAAGTATCCAATCTGAATTGTACCTATGTACTTTTCATCCTTGATTTTTGAACCTTGTCTTTGCGACATTTATGTTAAAGCATTGACTATTGCATATGAACACCTTTTATATATATATATATATATATATAATACATGTATCTATAAACGTGGATGTTAACATATTGATGAAACTAACATACACGTAATAAATATGATAAAACATCATTCTTTTCTATAATAATAGTGAAATTTTCTGTAAATAAATTTTCACGTTTTATGCAATACAAAAGGGTCCAAGTTAAAATTATACGCTTATCTTTTTTTATTAAACAAGGTGATTTTCAGATTTGACCTAGATCTAGTTAGGTGTTGGTAATATACCTGAACACTGGTTGCTGTAATGTGCGATGGTGTCAAAGGATGTTGAGTGTTTTGAGAGTTCACGGATTGCATTTGCACCGTTTGTTGCGGTTGCTGCTGTTGTTGTTGTTGTTGTTGTTGTTGTTGCTGCTGCTGATGCTGTTGTTGCTGTTGTTGCTGATGCTGTTGTTGCTGTTGCTGAATCCTATTTGGATTCTGTTGATTTTGCAATGCCTGAAGATTCTGTAAATTCTGCTGAGACTCCTGTTGCTGTTGTTGACTCGGTTGTTGATGCTTTGAATGTGAAGTGTTGATACCGTGACGTCGTTTCATATGTTTATTATAATTTGGCCAGTTAGTAAAATGATGTTGGCATTCTAAACAACTGTACGGGCGTTCACCTGTATGTTGACGCCGATGAGTCTAGAATATTAAAACGTAAAAATAAAAATATATTTATATTTATTAAACATTGATATTTAATTGACTTGGTATATAAATACACTTGCTAATGATATATTATTTATACATAAATGTGTTTCGTTTATGTATAAAGTACTAGGTTCAATACAAAATTAATTTTTTACTATTTTTTTCAATTCTAACTATATAATTTAATTTAAAATTTTCTAAATTTTTTATATTATCAAATGTAAAAATATGAAGAATTCTAATATTATAAATACTAAAATTATGTAACATCATAATTCATCATCCGTAATTATTCATAATTATCAATTATTTAGCTCTTTTTAAAATTAATAGTCAGCTTTTTGATTACTCCTTTCTAAAAACTAAAATTTTCGCTATGATGTTATTAATATAATAAAACAGAGCCTTTTTTCATTTATTTCTATAATAATAATAATAATAATAATAATAATAATAAGGAATTTTAAACACTTGATATTTTATGAAAAAAATTATTTTTTAAATATATTCCTTTGTCATAATATAAAAATATAATACATTTAAATAATTTGTCATTAATTAATTTTTAATGTACTTATTTTTTTATTTGATTTTTAATGAAAATAATTACTTACCGTCAATATTCCTTTAAATCGAAAACATTTTCCACAGAATTCACAAGAGAAAGGCATAGCGCCCGTATGAATCCTGTGATGCTCTCTTAATGTTCCTTTTTCCCTAAATGTTCTGCCACATATTGCACATTGATGTGGTTTGGCCCCGGTGTGAACAGTCTCATGTTTCTTTAATTGTAATGGAGTTTTGAATCTGTAAATATTATTTTATTTCAATTAATTGTAAATTTTTATACAACAATTAATATATATGATAAAAGACTAACAAATAATAAATTTATAAGTGCTTAATAAATCATAATGAACTAAAATAATGCGTAACAAAACCGACATCTCTTTATCTACCTTAGGATAAATGATAATTTATGTTACCTCGGGATTAATGATAATAATAATATGAAATTATAATTGGTTAACAATCATAAATAAATATCACATTTTACAAGAATTTACAATTAAAATCTACAACAAATATAAGTATAATATTTATTAATAAAGTAAACTTAGTTACGGGCTAACAATTAAAGGAAAAATTTATTTTATAATCTCTAAGAAATTATTAAAATTATACTTACGCTTTGGAACACTGGGAACAACTGTAAGGTTTATCGGCAGAATGCGTCAAAAAATGAGCTTCTAAGTTACCCTTTTGAATAAAGCTTTTACCGCATTGATCACAAGTAAAATTTCTCACTCCAGAATGTATACGTTTGTGCGTTACTAAATTAGGTTTTGTAGAAAATCTAATAGCAAAATATAAACAATTTTAATAAGCCTAATACATGTAATACAAAAGCAATAATGATTTGTTCAAAAGGAAAAAAATTATGAACATATCTGATAATAATATAAATAAAAAACATTAATCCAACTTATATTTAATTAAAATATCTCCAAAATTACAATAATGTTTAATATTGATTTTAATAAATTTACAATTAATGTATTGTAAATTGAATTAAAATTCAAAATTTAATGTAAATAAGAAAAATATATTTGTCCAAAATTTTTATAATAGTGTATGTAAAATATAAATAAAATTATTGGGAACTTTTGTCGAAACGTCTATATCACTAGGCTTACCTTTTTTCACATTGATCACATGGAAATCTATTTTTCATATTTTCTGGTAAGTGACATCGACTATGAATATACAAAGCACTCTGTTGCCTGAACGCTTTACCACAGGTTTGACATATATGTGGCCTCTCTTCACTATGAATCGCCTTATGTGTATCTAAGACCTTTTTGTGAACAAACGTTTTGCCACAATCATCGCAACTGAACAAAGAAAATTGCATACAAATTTAAGTTCTTGAAAAATTAATGTTTTCATTTAAATGACAATTAAGATTATAGATACTTTTAAGTGATTGACTAACTACATAATGTTTAATGCATTAATATTTTAAATCAAAGTAAATCATTGCGTGTATATATATATATATATATATATATTATAATCTTTAATTCTCTTAGTAATTAATATAAAGTATAGGATTAGTATTAATTACTATATAAAGCATTAGTTTTAATATTTCCTTCTATGTTTTATATATTATTAAAGAAAAACGTTTACCTGAATTTCGTCTTGGTTCTGTGTCTTTTAACGTGAGTTAAGAATCCATAATATTTTTCATAAACTTTACAACATTGTACACACATGTATTTAGCTTTCTGATTATGAATAGTCTTGTGATGGTCTTCGAGAGCTTCTAAGCTAGGTAACTTGTCATTGCAATCTGTACATAACCATGGATATCTATCTATTCTGTCTCCCTTTTTTTGCCTTATTCTTGGAATTTGTTCTGGATTGTCTTTTCTCCCTGTAAGAACGATTATTTCCATATCGGAATCTGTACCTAATAAATTAAAAATTTACAGTTAATTTTCTAAATGATATAGTAAAGCCAGGAATTATTATAAGTATACAATATTCCAACCTGTCATATAATTATCTGGAATTTTTACATTAGGCTTCCCATCCTTTTCATTAATTTGTTCATTATCTAGTTCGTTTAACAATAAATCTTGCAATTCCTTTTCATTAATTTTAAGCGAGTTAGTTTTCCTTTTTACTTTTTTCTTATTATTCTGTTTGGGACAATTTTGTTTTGTAAGATTTTTGGATTTATTTTCACTAACATCTTTGCTCTTTTCACATGCTGCCTTTTCCATGGGACCATTATTATCATCAAAATAATCATCACCTATGTCATCAACAGAATTATCTACATAATTATTTACTTTGACAAAATTGATTGTTTTATCTATATAATCTACATTTGATTCTGCAACAATTTCAGGAGCATTTCTGAGAGTTTCTTGTTGAACTTTTACTTTCCGTTCTATTATCATATGGCCAAGAGAACATTGAGCTTGATGGGTTTTTTCATAAAATTCGTTGCACTGATTCAATAATACGCAACAGTCAATACAAACAAACAGTGGTAAACAATCGTTTACAAAAACCTATAAATAATGAAAAGATTTAATAAAATATCAACGAATAAGTCTTACATTTAAAATGAAAAATAAAGATTATAAAATAAAGTATTTGTAAAAGATTAAAGTATTTTTTTTTAAATAGAATACACAGTCTACAAGAGGGTGTTTTGTTAATTTTTTAATATTACTTAAGATTGTTTTAATAGTATAAAGTAAAGTAAAACTCTTTAAATACTTTAATCTTAATATTAATTTAAATAAATGTGTATATAATATATATTGACAATCGTATCATTCGTAAATGTTTGAATCATAGTAAATAATAATTTAATGTAATATTTAAATAATTTCATAGGATATTTGGATATGAGACAAGATTGTGATTCCTTGAGTAGATGATGTATAATAAATTAATTGGACATTTTTAAATTTTGAGTTAAAAATTATGTATAAAGTGTACGTGCGCGTGTGCGTTTGTGCGTTTGTGCGTTTGTGCGTTTGTGCGTTTGTGCGTGTGTGCGTGTGTGCGCGCGCCTTAGCTTATCACAGAAAATTTGATTAATAATACAAATACAAAATTTTACAATTAATTAAGTTTAAATTTTCATAAACCATGAATCAATGATAAAGTAGCGAGATAAGTACTATAGAAAGGGGGGGGGGGGAAAGCTTTTTAGGCTGATAGATGAAAAGCAATTTGTCACAGCAATTTGAAGAAGTTTATTATTAGTGTTAAAATCAAAGTTTAATTTATTAATTCCTAGAATTTCAATGGTTATCACTCACAGATACAAGTTTCTACTCCATTTCAAATTAACTATGGCATCTACTTGAAAGAAAAAAAATGAAGGAGAAGAAGAAAGAACGACGAAATCACTCTTGCCTGTATTTGCAGGCATTTGGCGATCTTATTTTCGATTGCAAGTTTTAGGCCCTCGGCCTCATAAATGCCAATGAAGCCTTCCTTGGTTTCGGCACAGAGCCGACAAAGCTGCTGCTTATCTACCGTCCTCTTCGTATTCGTCGTCATGCCCTCGCTTACTGCCGACTCTTCCTTTCCCCTCCTTTTCTTCAGTTTTTTTTATCTCGCACACTACTATTCCTACCCTTTCACCCCCATCCACCACCCCACCCCCACCCCCGCCCCCGCCCCCGAAATTGATAATTAATTTGCGTCCGAGTGTATTATTGTTGCTATACGCGGACGCAGTGCAATGCCGTTAAATCATTGATCAACAATATATCTAAAATCGAAAGCATAGCCGGTATGTAAGCAGGCATTGCACTTATTGCGTCGACTGGTTATTAAGAAAACGCTTGTCCGTTGCCAATGTAATAACTTAATATATTATATGATATAAAATGCTGTGTACACGGTATCCAATTTAAGATTGTTTACTTTATTTTGAGAGTAACGCCGACCGCCGGGTGACACTAGTGCGTGTTTACTTTTTTTTCTTCTTTTTTTCTTTTTGTTGATTTTTTGTTTTTTCTTTTGTTTCTACTTTTCCTTTTTTTTTCTTTTTTTTTTTTTTTTTTTTTTTTTTTTTTTTTTTTTTTTTTTTTGAATAAATACAATAATAATAGGTATACACGAACTAAAGATTTATTAGCAATGATAAGAAGTAAATTTTGCAAATTGAAGGCTGGCTTAATAAGCGAGATGTATAAATACTTAAAAATGCATAATAACGAAACGGCGTAGTTAGTGATGCATGCGTCTTCAAGAAATGGGAATTGGAATTGGGAATTGTGAATTGGGAATTGGGAATTTGCAATTAGAAAAAGGAACACATTGTGCTACAATTTTATATTAAAGACGTATGTATTTAAAGAAGGAAGATGATGATGGAGCAAATGTTAGCAAAACCAGGCAAACATGAATTTTAGCGATCTAGTTATAAATAAGAGTAGTATAAATAGTGTTTTTTTTTTTTTAAAGATAAAACTTTAAATGCTAGATATGTTTTTGTATAAAATTATCAGCCAGTGAGAAGACCACCATTTTAATTTATTCAAAGTATCTATACAGCTGTTATTATTTTTTTTTTTAAATGTTAGTTACTCGTTCATTATTTACATTTTAAGAATGTAAAATATTAAAAATCTGTATTATTTTTTTTTTTTTCTGTACCAACCAAATTGATTTATATTAAAAATGAAGCCAATTAGTTATTTCAATAAATATATCAAATACTTATTAATGTGAGAAGAATATATGGTAATATTTGAAACCTATTATTTATGACTTTAAAATAATAATGAGACAAAAAGAATTTTTTATAAAATGAATTATGTACTTATAAGTATTCGTCTATGTAAAATAAAAAATTACATTAATAATATTTTTATCGTACATTTCGATCCTAATATTATACTTGATATGGCATAATTTATTACTTATTATAAAATAGTTTTCATTGTTAAAAGATTATTTTAATTCAATTTAAATGTAAACGTTTCTAACGTGACTAATAAAAAATAGTATTGAAAACCTAAATATGGCTTATCAAAATTTTTACAGACTACATATAAAATTGCAATTTACGCACAAATATACTATTTATAATAATTAAGAAATAAATTATATTTTATCTACTTATTATCGTACGAAAATTTATAATAAGCATTGCAATAGTTATTTATCTCGTATCTCTGTATTTCAAAAATAATAAAACTATTAAAATTAAGTTCATATAATGAATGATAAATCTAATATATAAATATATATTAATATATATTGAGATTTTAGAATATTATTATATTTTTTTCAATTTATAATCAACACCTATCTAAAATTTGCAGATAACTTATCTTTTCATATTTATAAATGTCGAAAATACATTGTAAAGAAAATACATTTTATTTTATTTTTCACTTCATATAATTTTCTAATTTAAAATTATTCTATGTACTGAATAAAATATAGTCGAATTTCTTTATTGTCTGGGAGTTAAAAAAAAAATAATATATATATATATATACATACATATACTTAATTATGTATTAATACTTACAATATGATTATTAAAAGTTAGGAATTTAAATAGCATAATAAAATTTGTAAGTTACAGATCTTCTATACTTTGGACATACATTATTTTGCAACATCGTTGTTAAAACGATTTATTATTGATTATAGCATGTTAAAATAAAGAATAATAAAGAATATTAAATTTCTTTAACCAAGTACTATTTTTCCAATATAGTATATCGTTATAAAATATAAATAACATTTACCGCGATTTAGGGTTGATTAACTCAACAGAATTTTGCAAAAAATACTATTTTATGTAAACTTTATAACATAATTATTACATTCACAAATTTAATAATAAAGCCATGATATAACCCCGAGTTATAAATACAGGATAGGTCATTGTTATGTTATAAAATATAATTCTTTACGACACGAGTTGTTAGTTTGTTTTAGATAAGTAAGGATTGATAATATATTTTGACGTCGAAAAACAATCCTTCGATCGACTTCCATGAATTTGTTTGAAAACAATGCAGCAGAAACAATATATGAAGAGGTCAATGATAAAAGTTCGAATAATTTCTGCATATAATAATATTATTAATAAAAATATTAATAAATAGTATTAATAATAAATTAATTATTTGTAAATATATATGATCGAGTAATGAATTTTGAATTTTTGTATCAAAACGAAGTTTTAATAAATACGGATAAAAATGATAAAATTATACCTTAATGTTTTGATATTAAATTAATTGATTATACACAAACACAAACAAACACACGCACGCACGCACGCACGCACACATTAATAACAATAATATTAATCTTATAGTAAATTCAAAAAAGTTCTTCGGTTTTTTAATATTTATCTGTAAATTCATGGTAAATTCGTTGAATAATGTCTAAATCCGAAAAACTATTTATAGCTTAATATTAGTAAGAAAAAATTAATTCTAATAAAACTTCTTGATTAAAAATGATTGTTGATTCATATTATAATTTTTTTTTTATTATAATTTTTTGTGATTTTCTTTTTTTCAATCATTTACTAATATATCTTAAGGATATTTTAATTTTAATATTCAACAATATTTTTAATCGATGTATTAAAATGTCTATATATATATATATATATATATATATATATATATAAAAAAATTTTTGAAGAATTGAATTATTATTATCATTAAATTAAAAAAAATTTTGGGTATCATATATTTACAGCTATAGTTGGTATCGAGCATTTCTTAATTCTTAGAATCACAAAGTCTTAACTCGAAGCATGAGTAACGTTAAATTAGACAAACATCTGTTACATTAGTATATCATTTTTCTATCATTGAATAAGTAGCAATTTATTCAATTATAGCTGAGTTCAATATAAATGTGACAATCTAATTTTTAAATAGTCAATTATCAAAAAAAAAATTACACACACAAATGGAACCGCAATCAAAGGGTAACTATATTTATAAAAATCAATGCAATTTGTTGGTAAATTGAAAAGATTTTGATAAAAATATTTATAATATTAATATTAAGAGAAAAAAAAATTTAACTTCTTTATTATTTTTTCAGGAAATAATTTCTTCATAATAGATTCATCTTGTATAAAAGAAGAATTGAACATTTCTAATAATTTTATTTATACATGTTTGTATTTTATTAAAATCTATAATATTTTTATAATATCTGTATATTTTTAATACTTAATGCATTATATTTTATTCTATTTTAGATGACGAGATACCAGATGGTATTAATAATAACTTAACTGACAAGACTGCGAAGAATTTTGTTTACGTGAAATTGGGTAATTGTATTTATTTATTCATTTGTGCGCTCTGTTTATTCGATTAATAAAGCTGTAAACACACATGTCAATACCAAGCAATTTTTTAAACTGTTTTTATTGCTTTACAGAGAACATCGATGATGAGCATAGATGTTCATATTTATCAGATTACGATGGTATGTAAATAATTTATTAATTTGTTTTAAGAAAGTATAAACATTACAATGGATAAAATTGATATTTTCTAATCGTCCTTTTAAATATAAGAGTATATTATTACATTTACAAATGAAATGATGAAAAATATTGATAAATTCATTGTTAATAACATTTCAATATTTATATTACTTGTTTTAATTTAAATGCCAACCGTACATACTTTAGGAAATTAGAAATAAACAAAGTTTCATTTATAGACAAAAATTATTTAAATATAATAAATGATAAATATATAAGTGAAAATATATTTTTAGAAATAAAAATTAATAGTACAGCACTAAAAGAGCAAAATTCTAAGTTTAGTAAACAATTGTTCTTAGAGGATTCTGATTTAAATTCGATACAAGATAATCCCACTAATTTAATTCAACAAGAATATAATATTGCTAATGCTGATTCGAGCTCGTACGATGATGATTTCATTCTCAAGATATCTGATACTTCGGGTACGTAATATCGTAAAGACTTCATAATAAATATTTAAATAATATTTTATTGTTATTTATTACATAAGATGATAAATTGGAAGAAAATGAAATAATAACACAGAGCTTTCGGAATGCATTAGTTAATGATAATACGATTTTTAAAACTGAAGGTAATATTTCTTACTTTATACCGTATACCGTATACCGTATACCAATATGAAATTTGGTATTCAAAAATGATATTATGACGATATAAAGCAATAATACATTTTATATTTAAGATAATTATATGGATAATAATTTAAATATTACGAAATCAAATGTGCAAACGATTAATAAATTCACAACTAGATCATATGAAACAAGAGGAAAGCGTAAATTAAATACAAGTGAGATAATTACACCAAACTCATTCGTTGATTCAAATACTTTATCAATTGAATCAACAAAAATAAAATATGGTAACAGCTTGAATTATCTCAATTATTTTATTTATAAAAATTAGAATAATTAAAATTATGAGAATTAAAATAATGTAAAATATGTATAAAAATTTAACGAAATATTTTAGATAATAATGTAAATGAAACGGACGTTACCGAAAATCTTTTAAACGCTTCTGAAAGCAAAATAAGTAAGTAATAAAAATAATTTAATTATTTTATGCTAAATTAACGTTTATATCATTTATCGTTATAAATTATAGAAAATGTAACGTGTAATATTTTTAGATATAAGTAACTTCATCCTTAGATTTTGTTTGAGATGCAAGAACACGAGTAAATGCATTGGCCAACAAATAAAAAAATGTCAAAATTGCAAAGTTGATTTGAAATTTAAATGTTTACTCTGTGAAAAATATTGCAAATCGAAGCCTGGAGTTTACAGTCATCTACACCACTATCATTTATCAAACTCAAATTATTTTAATAGAAATCAAATAGGTATAATATTACGTTTCATTAATAAAACGATGATGAAAATTATTTATCAAAAGTAAATTACAATTAAAATAAAATAAATAAAGTATTGAAAAACAATTTTTTTTTTTTTTTTTTTTTTTTTTTTTAATAATAAATCCACATTATTTTGCAATTAAAGTAATTGTTAATTGACGATTTTCAGAAATTAATAAATGCTCCATTTTGTTTTGTTTAAAATGTAATAATACATGCAAAGTATCTGATAAAAAAATTGTAATATGCCAAAAGTGTAAAGTAAAAATGGCTATGGTATGTTTAATATGTAGTAGACATTATAAGACGGTCACTGAATTTTATTCACATTTGCATAAAGAACATCCTAAGCATTTTTCAAAAAATCAAGATCATCTTAAGCAATCTGTAAAAGATCGGGACTATTTGAAACAGTTGATAAAAGATCAAGAACAATCCAATAATTTTGTAAAAAATCAAGAACATTTGAAATATTTTGAACAGGCTCAAGAGAATCCTAAGCATTTTACAAAATATGAGGAAGATTTTAAGTGTTCTATAAAAGATCAGGATTATGCAAAATACTTTATAAATGATGCCAAAAATATAAAGAATAAAGGTATATGATTTTTCCATTGTTCTTATATATCATTTATATTATTTTAATTGCTTTGCCAAGGTATCGATTACTTAATTAACTTATTTTTTGTTTTATTAATCGATTGCCCATTATTTTGCAAAAATGTTGTTAACTTAGCTTTTATTTATTTATAATTTTCAGGCGAAGGAAATTTAACATTATTTCATAACTTAATATTACCTTTTAACTATTACTATACTAATACTATACCTTATTAATATTAGTATCGAAAATTAAAAATTTAAAATCATAAAATATATTTACTTATAATTATTTTACAATATAAAATTTATAAATCTATTTATGAATTTTGATTACAAAATATATTTTTTGATTAAATAAATGATTTACAGATGTTATAAATAAGAAAATGTGCGTTAAATGTGGTATACAGTTTCAAAGTAATCAAAGTTGGTTTAATCATAATAAATATTGTGGTAAAGAGCCTCATTTATCTTGCGAGTATTGTCCACATAAGACTAAATACAAATGGAATTTGAAGCAACATAATGAACTGAAGCATTCCACGATTATTTCTTCAAAACTAAAACTCCAATCTGGTTCTCTGGAATCTGGTAAACACTTGTTTGAACAATTTCTTCTTAAATATAGTTAAATTTATAAATAAAAATTAAGGTATAGATATATAAAAGTACTTTATATATATATATATATATATATATATATATATATATATATATATATATATATTTCAAATTTTAAAAATTAAAATATTTACTTTGATAATGTTATTTGATGCGACGTGATTGTTGGTACAATATTATTAATTGCGTATATCAATTTAATACAATCCTAATCGTACCAACCCAATGTTACATAATTAATACTTCTTATAACATAATCATTATTCAACTTAATTACTATTTAATATATATTGCATATGTAATGTAATTATTATGTAATACAATATAATTAAGAACGTAATAACGTAACATAGTCTGAGCTTGAATTTTAACAAATTCCAGTCTTGTCTTTGAATTCTAATAACAACTTGGATTTTCACTCGATTATGACTTCAATATTTTGTCATAATAATTGCTTATATTTTAAAATGTAAATTTAAATTTATTCGAAAACTTACATTTACTCCATTTTCTTTATTACAATAGTTAAATTATCTTTCGATTCTTGTAAATATTTTAGAATTTTAAGTTATATTTTAAATTAATGCTAGATAAGTTTAAAGTATTCTACTTTCAAATTTAATAGTGTTAAATAAATGCAACATACAAGTTACAAGAATATAATATATTCTTTATATTATATTTTTCTTAAAATCCCATTGCATTGAATATTAATTTGAAGTATTTAAAATGGCGATAATTTAAATGTAACTTTAAAATTAAAATAAAATTAAGAAAACTCTTTAAACTTTCTAAGAGCTACTAATGCGATGAAAATTTTTTTACGCAATCAAAGATATTTTAATCAAATATATAGCTTTCATCAAATATGTATAAATCACGGTTGCATAAATTAAATCATTTACAATTACATTATACGGTTAATATTTATACAATATAATATACATATTCTTGTTTATAATGTTGAAATGACTAGCTGAGCTATATTGTCTTTAATATACAGATAAGTTTATATTTGCATTCGTAAATAAAGAAATTCCGAGCGAATATCACGAGCAAACCTAAATTAAGCAAGATTTTTATGTTACTTTTAATATGAAAGTAAATTACTAATTATTTGAACTTTAACATTGATTATTATTATTCTTTTTTGTTATCAATTCATAAATAAAATAATAAATTCAATTTTAAAAATTACACTAATATTTAAATTACTAATTTATATTTGCACCTGTAAACATTGTATCATTATACGATTATAATTTTAATTTTATTGATTAGTAAATAATAATTATTAATTATTTTAGTTAGTGAAAAAGAATCAAAAGGTGATGATAGCCCATTTATTACAACGCCAAATAAATTAAGTGGGTCTTTATGCATATATTTATATATATATATATATATATATTAACCATAAATATAATAATAAACTTATCAATACTTATACGTGTATGTATTTCAGGCATTCTTAACATGACCAAATATTATTGTCATAAATGTGATCAAACAATTAATGACATACAAAAATTTGATAAAATCTGCAAGAAATGTGGAAAAGAATTAACATTACAATGTATAAAATGTAATAGATTTTATAAAAAATATCAAAGCATGATCTATCACTTGCAAAGTAAATGCGACCCTCAAACGTATTTTCATTGTTCAAAGTGTGATTATACAACATCAGTTTCAAATTTAATTAAGAAACATGTACTACGTGTACACGGAATTAATTATAAAACAAATACAAAAAAATGTGTAAAATGTGGCAAACGATGTAGATCACTATTTGAACATACACGTTGTTGCGAAAAAGAATCGAATAATGTAATTAGAAACTTATCAGATATTCGAACGGATAGAAAGAGTTTTATCAAGAATTTAGGAAGCCGTGTTTCGCCACGTAAGAATGAAATAATTAATACTGTACATAGTTCAAATAATACTAAAGAATGTTTGAAGTGTGGAAAAACATATGAAAACATTAACCATCATATAGAATTTTGTCAAAGAGATAAAATATTTTCTTGTGAACTATGCACTTTTAAAACTAAGTACAAATACAACTTAAAGTATCACATGCAAACGCACAAATCAAAGACTGAAGCTGCGAAGATAAAAGGTATTAATTTTGTTCTTAATGATTAAATACTAAAAATCTAGGCTGATATAAAATTGTATAAATTTTTTAATTATAATTTTTTAAACACAGTTTCTCGTATAAGACTTCGAGTTATTATTATGTGTAAAGATAATTTTTTTTAATTATCCGACTTTTTGTAAAGGTCAATAATTTTAGTATTAATATCTGCTTTTTCTTTTTCTTTTTTTTTTTTTTTTTTTTTTTTTTTTTTTTTTTTCTTTTAACGTAATTCATACATTAAAAATTGTATATTTGATAAATAATCGCAAAATTTCACTGTTTATATAAAAATAATTTTATAGCACAAGATGGACTCGAGCAAGTACTAAAGCAAACAAAAAAAGTAATAAAACAGAATAACGCAATTAAATTAAGTGAGTAGATATATTTATATCAAATATATTTATATTTCATCGGAATTTTATAATTAATATTTTTAACGCAATAATAATAATGTTTAAAAAAAAAAAAAATAAAAAAAAAATACTGTTAATAATTTTGTTCTTCTAACTTGCCGTTAAAAAGTTATTGACAATTTTAGTCCAAATATCTTCAATCACAGTTTTAACTAAAAGTGCCAATGAAAATAAATCACATATATTTATTTATGTAATTCTTCCAAAATTCATATACATTTTTTAAAAATATTATTCGAGTGAAGAAATAATAGCCCATACATTCAATATAATATTTTCAAACGCATACATCAATCTACTAATTTCATTCTTAAATGTAATTATTGGTTTCTTAGAAATGCATAATGTGATGGAATCATATTGTCCAAAATGTAATAACAAAAATATTGCAAACAAATATGTGACAAAATGTCGGAAGTGTCGTACAAGGCTTACATTTAGATGTGTTCAATGCAACGTGAAGTACCGTAAACTGGCATCGCTTCAATTGCATACGAAAAATCACAATTCTGAAAACTCTAGAAACATTGAATGTACTAACTGTAACAAGACCTTTGCTATTAAGAAAAATTTTCAGATGCACAGGAATATATGTATGAAGGAGCTGAGCTGTAAATGAGACTTTTTTCTGAGAATTCCATATTTAAATGAATAATTTTGTAGTATTTTACACGCTAAAAGCTTCTGAAAAACTTGGATATTAAAATCATAATAAGATTGGATAAAGACATGTTTTCTCCAAAAATTCTTCATGTTGAGTGATTTAAACAAATTTTGAGCATTAAATACATTCAATTGTAGATATTGATTATTTTAAGTTTCTTAAACAATGCTTATAATTGTTTATATCATTTATTACATTATACTTTTTTGCAAAGTCTGCATATATCAGATTATTTAAAATATTGCAAATACTTGAATTGTATTTGAAAAATTATAAATTTTAAGTTTTTAATGTAACCAACTAATTTTATAACATAGGCAAATATATATATTATATATATCCTTATCCAAGGAACACAAATATCAAAAACTAAAAATAAATTTTGAATATTTTTAATTTCATATCAACATATAAAATCAGACATAAGTAAATTTATAAATATTTTTACTGAGAATTAATTAAAATAATTGGATAATAATTTTTAATTATAATTGTTTATAACTAGTTTATAATTAATTTATTAATTTATAATAATTTTTTTTCAATAGTCGATGCTTAGATTGGTAATATACAATATACGTATTTAAATATTTTTTATGCGTAATATTGGTTTCTCGTTTATAAATTGATAATAACAGATAATTATTTTTAATTACTAATAAATATTTTTCCAAATCTTATTTTATTCGATATTTTCATTCTTTTCAAACAATTGTATCAGCTTTTGAAATATTTAAAATTTTGTTCTTTAAAATACTTTAATCAATCTTTTATTTGTATACATTAAAAAGCATTTCATTAATTTATCTTCAATTTTTCAAAAAAAAAAAAAAAAAAAAAAAAAAAAAAAAAAAAAAAAAAAAAAAAAAAAAAAAAAAATTAATTTTCTAAACCTTATTTCTAATTCAAGAAAAAATAATGTTATAATATATTTCCTAATTGATGTCATGTATAATAATATACAATATATGATAGAGTGCTTGGGAAATAGCTATTAAAACATATCAAAACTTAAAATTTAATAATAATTTTAATGAATAGAAAGTAAGATTTTAATATTAAGAAACAATTTATTGTATAATTTTGTAATAATGTAATAACTATGTCATATAATAAATTCTACAAATCGATAATTTTTAATTTTTTCTTTAACGCAAAATAAGTAAATTATTTTTATTTGTATAAATAGAGAAAAGATAGTATTATACATTTTATATTAAATGTTATTTGTAATTACTAAAAATATTTATGCTCATAAAATTGATTATGTCGTATATATGCGTGCAATTTAAAAATTGTATGAAAAAACTGAACAAACATACACAGAAATAGATTTAATACTCGTCTAGTTAGTACAAAATTTCATAAATATATATGATATTTACAAACACTTGTGATTATATTTTTATATCCATTATGTGCACGGGAAACTTATCATTTTATCATTATTTACTTTGAATTAAAGCACACTTTTTATGTGTACATAAGATTTATGTAATATTTATTTATAAATATCAATTTGAAATATAAATTAGATGTTTTTGTTTTAGAAGTTATGTTCTTAGATTGTTTTTGTAATTTTTTGAAGTCATTTATTAAGTATATGAGATAATTTACAAAATTATCTATTGTACGATAGCTTAAAAACTTTATAAATATAGAGTATCGTGTATTGCAATACTTTATCGGAAGGAAGATCAGGGACCGTTTAGAGTTAGGAAAATTAACGAAAATATATCTATTATAACATATGCATAAGCTACTGTGAATTGGTCTGCATCAAAATTTTTGTTTAAAGAGGAAATTATATAAGTTATTGCGATTGATTGTATATAAGTAGCGATTACAAATATTACGAAGGAAACATAAAATAATACATGTTGCACCGATTATAGTGATATTTACTATTATAATTAAATTTAGTTTGCATATGTGTTTTATTAAGGAATAGAAATTGAAAGTCAACATAATAGTATTCATACGAGAAACCACGACATTATCTCTCGTTGAACGGTAGATAATAATTTCAGTTAGGTTGCCAATATGGAAACCTCTTATGCTGGAATGTATCTAGGTCATGTTTATGTTTTTTTTTTTTTTTTTTTTTGCATTAAATAATTAGTCGGTATTTTTGTCATTTGTCATTGAAAATGCAGATCAATTTAATCATCTTATTCGTGTACGATTATATGGATCTCTCAATATCTGCGATTTATATCTTATTGTTATAATACTCAACGTGCATTAACTTATATGAAATTACATTCCTTATCGTATATAAAGTATATATTCAAGTTGTTCAAGTATTACTAAAAGTATATAAAATTTATTTCTATGTAATACTTACCTAATACTTCATAATTTTTCAAATCTATTTTAACTCCATTAAGCACAACTATGTTAAATAAATACAAACTTTTATTATTAGAAATTGAATATATAAATTAAAACAATTTTAAGTATTTAACATGAATTGATTTTTTTTTTTTTTTTTGTTAACAACGATATTTACTTTTGATAAGTTTTTGTTTTTGTTTTTTTTTAATAAAAAATAGTCAATTTCATAAACTAATTAGAAAACTTTTCGTTAAATATCGAATTCAATTTTTAAAGGTTAGCAGATACAATGAAATGTAGTGCATTTTCTATATTTTTTTAAAGAGATAACTTTAATAATTAATAATAATAATAATTAAATGTGCTTGACGAATTTATTCGAAATGGAATATTTATTATCATATAAATAATCATATATACATAAACGTATGTAGGTAAAATTATAAAGCATACATATTTATTATTCTTATTGAAAAAAAAAATATATATATATATATATATATGTTAATATTTTTTTTTTAGAGAAATATTTTATTTATAATAAAGATTGGCAATTTTAATTTCTCAAGATAGTTCGTAATTATTCAAACTGTTATTACTTTTGCCCAGTATTTGAAAAAAAAATTAGTATTTAAGCAAAGATTTTTTAAAAATTTCAATCGTTGTGATTCTTTAATAATTCAACTAATTAAAATTTTTTATTTTGAAGCTACACAACTGGTTTCGTCAAATATTAGATAAGCACCTATCATAATTTTATTTAACTTCATAGTTTGATATCTTCATAGGCGTTAAAATAATCATGAATTATTCATTTTATAAAATTTGTATATCAGTCGAGTTTTACGGGTATAATAGGTAGAGAAGATTATACTTCGATGTGCCTCATTTAACTGGTATGCTACTCGACATGTTAATATTAAATTTTACATGTGATTATTAATAATTAGGAGTTAGTGATAATACATGTACTTTGTTAAACTGTAATTTGCAATTTTTTTTTTTTAAGATATTGAAAGCCAATTCTGAAAAATTGGATTTCTATACTATACCTAATGAAAGTGAAAAATTATTTAATTAAAATTTAACTAACAAAATTTATTTATAATTGTTTCTCTACTAGTACATTTCATTCGTTTAAGTGCAAAAAAATCAAAATTAGATTTCGATTTGATGAATTATATTATATTACTAGCAGTTTTATAACTAAATTCTTTAGAATCAACTTTAAATTTGAAAAACAATAGAAATTATAAACACAGAAATATATTTCACATGAGGTATGAAATAACTTTTAATCATTATATTAAATAAGATAATTTAATTTATTTCTAATCAATATTTGATTTCTATTTTTAAATATATTTATTAGTTGAAATTTATTAAATAACTTTCAATCGAGTTACATTTATTGCTTATTGATTTATAATATCTGCAAATATATTAAAATTATATCAAAGATATACTTAATAAACAAGAATTTTTTTTCGCGATTTTTCATATATTTCGTATGTGAAAAGAGCCTTTATCTAATACATAATTTTATAACGCATTATTGAAAGATAAAAAGTACATTTTAATGTTTTGTTTTTTTTTTTTTTTTTTTTTTTTTTTTTTAATATATTTATTTAAAAATAGAACTACGTTTTTCATATTAATATTAATTGTGATTCTTTATGTTTCAAATTTAACGATGATTACATTAAGAAAGAAAGTAGTTTCTTATTATTGCAATTATTTAATTAAGTGTAAATATATACACAGATTTTATAAGAGTTTACTTTTCAGTGGAACACCTCCTACGCTTAACGAAAATGAATTTTCAACTAATCATTATAGTATGCTTATCAATCAATGACGGTAAGATATGTGTATATATATATATATATATATATATATATATATGTATATAAGAATAAAAAATTTTCATGTAGTATGTAATTAAATTGAAATATATAATTTATCTTCAATAAGTTTGATTTTCATTTACCATTATTTCTTATATAATATTTTTAAATTAAAAATTTTTTCATTCGCAACATTTTAATTAACATAATATACTGCTTTTGTAGAATTTATAATGACATTAATTTACAATAAATATTTAATTGACAAGACCAATAGCAAATTACTATTGAACAAAAAATATACGCGCAATATATTATTATTTTTGTTAACATTTTATAGTTGTCTTCTCTAAAAGATTAAGAATCGTTGGTGGTATTGATACAAATATAAAAGAATATCCTTACACCATATCCTTGAGATTACAAGCTGCGCAACATCTCATTTGCGGCGGTGCTATAATAAGCCAGCAGCATATTCTTACAGCAGCTCATTGCTTTGATGATACACGATTATATGAAATTTCAGTCTATATAGGAACGTCTTTGTCCACAAATTACACAATGCCATATTACAGAGTTTGCAACGTACACGCCCATCCTAAATATGATGCTAAGAATGAAATGGCAATGAAAGCACAATACGACATCGCTGTTGCTGTGGTATATTGATAAATATGTTTTAAAAATATTACAGTAATATAATATAAATATTAGAGACGTCAAATGCATAGAAATTTATGTAGCACTATAAATTTTATAATTATTTTACATATAAAAATTTTAAATAAAATACAAAATCTTAAATATTATTAAAATTGTAATTATATATGATATAAAGTATTCTCTCTATCGATGAAGTAAAAGTATTTTTAACGGTTTATTTTATTTATTTTATTTTTTTTTTTACGCATAAATGATAATAATGTCGTTTTCAATCAATTTAAGCATTATATTGCAATATTTTTCAAAAAAAAAAAAAAATATATATATATATATATATATATATATATATATATATAAATGATATACATCACTTTTTAATTAAAATAAATATATTACATATTGAAATTTGTTTCCAATACAGAACTACATATATTATTTCTACATAATTTGAAATTACCATTACAAGTTGGAATATGTGAAAGGAACATATAACGATCTTATATATTACTTAAAATAACTGAAAACTTTATATATTAATTAAAAATATAAGTAAAAATGTATATAAATGCGCATGTAATCTGTGTAAATTAAACGAAAGATATCTTTATATATAGTTCATTTAAAAAATATATTTCATTATTCGGTAGCCAGGTTTATTTTTAATTAAATATTAATTATCTCCAATAGAATATATATTTTTAGAGAATTAAAATATTAGAATATTTGTATTTTGATTAATTTACATTATAATTAAAGAATAAATTATAATAATAAATATTAGTATAAATATTTTATGTACAGTAAAATCATAGACTTTTAATTTTTTTTTTTTAACGACATATTGCAATTGATTAACAATATAATAGATATTTTCAAATGTGACATAATACATTTGTCCAAGTTTAGTCATTCAATTTTATTTATCATTATTATTAAAAAAAGATCATTTCAAGCAGTAGATAATAATTGCGTATGAAATAATATTTGTAGAAATAAACGATAATAGATATTTTATATCTTTTTATATATTTATATATCAACAAAATAAAATATTATCTATGGAAAGTACTTTGTAGATATTATATTAATTTATTTTATCAAAAATCTTATAAAATTTTATATAAAAGATTCTTATGATAATACAGTTTAAAATTGCTTTCGTGCTAACCAATTAAAATTCTTGTAACGTTTAGAACCTTTTGACAAGCTAGTTCTTTCCATAATTTTTAATATAATTCTAATATAAGTTTTTAATCATTGCTTTATCGGAATAGATTATGTAATATAACAAAAATGACAAATTTTATATTAATTTATAAAATATAAATAGAAATTTTACATATATTAATTAATATAAATATTAACTGTTTGAAAAAAAATTGAATTTGTTATTATTGTTATAAGCTTATTATCATACATAATATAATCAAATTAACTTATTCCCTATGTTTAAGGCACTCAGCAACACATTTGTTGAAAAATGAATTCAATAGAAGTATAGTTCTTGTTTATGATTTGCGTATATATAATTTAATATAAATATTAAATAGAAATTTTAATTTCGATTTCAAAATTCAAGATACCTACGTAATAAGATAAGATTATAAATAAATATTCATGTTTTTTTTTAATCAGAGCGCAGAATTTTAACTACCTCTTATACGTTTTATCTATTTAGAATGCAATCGAATACAATAATCAATAAGCAATTTTCAATAAGAAAATGTAAAAATAACAAACATTTTTTAGGTGGTACCAAGAATTATACTCAATGAATATCAAAATGTTGTAAGTCTTCCTAGAAGAAATGTTGGGGTTGGTAAAACTGGTGTAATCACTGGTTGGGGAAAAACAGGATACCCTATCGGAGATACTTCAGAAGTAATACAAATGCAGACAATGACAATTATTAAAAATTCCGAGTGTCAAAAGTATCTGCCGTTTCCATTACATTCTGATCAACTCTGCGCCTTTCAAAGGAAAGGAGTTGGCGCATGCTATGTAAGTTTTCACCAAATATCAAAATTTCAATAATTAATAAAAACTATAGATAAAGTTAAAATTAATTATATTGCATACTTTATAAAAAAAAAAAAAAAAAAAAAAAAAAAAAAAAGACATCTTGATTTATAATTTTTATATTTATTTATTCATTATTTCATTATTTAATCATTATTCAATTATTTATAATTGATTTTAATAATCAAGTATCTACTGAATATAAAAAATTTCATTTATATAAGAAAAAGAGCTTTTTAAAAATAATTTCTATTGCTAATATCGATACATTATCTTTTAAAATTGAAATAATTTATTTAATAAAACATTTTATATTATAATAAATAGCATAAAATACTACATTGTATTATAACTTTTGGTCCAATTTCGTGTTTATAAAATTAGCAATATAAATTTAAATCATCTGATAAATCAACAAATCAAACTATAAATAACTTTAAATAGATATTTAAAAATATCAAATTACAATTTTAATTTACGATAATTAATTTACATTAACAACAAATTATAATATATATCAGATAACAAATTAAAAACAAATTTAAATATCCCATAGTTATTAATTCCATTATTTTAATATGATATTATTTTTGTTTTCTGAACTTAAAAGTTGATATTCACATTGTTGTTATGATTATGCAGGGTGATAGCGGAGCACCGTTAGTTGTCGATGGAAAAATTGTTGCCGTTTCATCCTTTGTTCGTCCATGCGCTATTGGTGAACCGGACATATATGTCAGAGTATATGCTTATTTGAATTTTATTAAGCAGTCTATGGATTGCCCGAGCACTTCATGTTGTTTATCTTAATACAAATAATCGTGATAATAAAAAATAACAATAACAAAAACAATAACAATAACAACAATCACCACAAGAACAACAAAAACAACAATGGCAATAACAATAACAAAAATAATTAATTATATAAAAATAAGATAGAATAAATGAATTTTTAATATATAAAATACATAATGCTTGGATAGAATTGATCTATAAAAATGTGAATTATTTAACGTATTATAGTTATATAGCTATAGATAAAAATTTTAACTACAAATATTGTATCTTAAATGAATGCTTACATGAAAATGTTATTTATTTTTGTAACAAAACAAATAATCTTGTTGTGTCGCCTATTATTAATTTAAATATTAAAAAAAAATAATAATAAATATTTATTTTTCTATTGCACGTTTTGCTTCATATTTGTATAATTTATGAATAATTAGTAAGTAAATTGTCAAATAGCTGTTCTTTGAAAATTAAATTTTGTACGAACATACACTAATTGAAATCCTATTTACCTTATCTGTACTTTTGCCTTTTGTAATAATTAACAGAAATTATAAACAATATTATTTATTTGTTTATTTGATAATTATTGCCTTTAACTCGCACACGCACACACTCACGCACCCTTACTATACACAGTTTAAAAAATAAATGTATACACATATAAATTATATATATATATATATGTTAAATAGGGAAATGTGAATTAAAATGTACATAATTTTAATACATTTTATTGAAATTAAAATAAATTTTTGCAGTATTTTATATTCATGATATTTTTATTTTTATTTTAACAAATCAAGTATTTGATTTTATTTTGTAACTACTATTTCGTGACTGTAAATATATTTCTTAATAAAATTTAATATTTTCATTCATTTCGATTTAAAAGATTAAACATTAATATAACATCTTTCAAGTTATATACGAAATTTATTTACTCAGGATTACCAAAATGATAAAGAAAAATATTGCTAGCATCTATTAACAAATTTTTATTGTTCTCATTATATATATATATATATATATAGAACACTTTTTTATCTTTATATATAGTTAAAAGATAAAAAAAGTGTTCTTATGATACGAAAGTAATAGGAAATTATAGTGTATTTGTAACAGAATTACAATTTGATGGATTTATTATTTAATCAGAATTTACCTAGCAATAATTTTTTTGTATTTCTTATCTATAATATTTTTTGAGACGTAAAATAAAAAAAAAAAAATTATCTTTAAAAAAGGTTTTATATTAATGCAATAAGAAATAAGTATAACAATTTAATTTTATAAATAGTATTTTTTGAATTAATAAAAGTATTTAAAAAAATTTATAGTATTTTTTAAATTCTTTTTTATATGAAAGAATAGACGATAAACTTTGAATGTCTCTATTTTTTTTTTTTTTTTTTTTTTTAAACAAAAAAGCGAATAACTAAAAATTATTAACATTTATATATTACTTCAATAATATTGTTTGTTTAGTGTGATAAAACATATTAATGTTGACAATAGCAAGTTTTACTGATGTTGTACTATAGTATTGAAAATTTGTGTTTATATTGAATAGTATTAACTTATTTTTTAACAAATTATTTCAAAAAGTAATATGATAATGAATTATCAGATAATAAATTATTAATAAATATATAATAAAATAATTTAATTAATACGGTGTATTAATAGGTAATCATATTTTTTCATTGGTTTTAAATTAGTTTATTAGTATGCGGTATTTAAAGGTATTAAATCAACATTAACAAATATTTATCTTAAAATAAAGAAAACAGTATATACAATTTTTGAGCGTTAACGTTTAATACAATCATGTAAAAGTACTAAAGATATAATTTAATAATTTGATTTATGTAATAGTTAGACATATGAGTAAATATAAGTTTATTTACTATTAATTTATAAAATGATAGCCTCTAACTAAGAGAATTTATATAATGGATTGTATCAAATTATAATTCGTATTTATTTTTTATAAACGTTACAATGAAATTTTGTTTAGGAATTTATGTTTGTATAGTATTAAATGTTGGTAAGTTATTTAACTTCAATTAAATTTTTCAAAAAATGAATTATTGTATTTTGAAATACAATTTAGGGATTACAAATGTTTTTGTAGTTAAATATATAATATTTAATTAAACTAAATAAACTTAAATTTGTCTATATATAATTTAGTGATTAAAAGAAAATTCATAAAATCGATATTGATTTCTTAAGAGAATTAAATCATAAAATATACGACATAATTAAAAGTTGTGTTACGATTTTTATTTTACAAAAATAAAGTTAAAGATAAATAGTATTGGGGTTAACTTTTTGGGTTATTGGAAAATACCATGCCTGTGTAATTTCTTTTTTTTTTTTTTTTCTTTTTTTTTTATCGTCAACTTGTAGTATAACAATAAAATATATTAAAATCAAGTAGAATATTAAAAATACTTTATATAATATAAAATATAATAAAAATATTTTTTATAATAAATTATTATTTTAAAACATTCAATGAGCATTATAAGATCTTAAACAATTTATATAAACTTTAATGTTTTTGGGTATATAAAAAAAAGAATATATTATATAAAAAAAACATATATATATATATATATATTCTTAATATATCATACTTTGATTATATTTTGATTATATTAAATAGTAGAATGATCGAGGTTTTATTTTAAGAGATGTATCTCATTAATTCCTTATGAGATTATATCATAACTAATTCTTTTAAATAAATTTATAAAATTTCTTATCTTAAAATTTCCTATACACTTGTATGAAGTTTTAAAATAATGAACTTCGTTTAATTTTATTTAATTTAGTAGTGTATTCAATTATATTTGAATATAATTTAATTTAGAAAATTTAACAGCGAATACAAACGAGTAGTATATATAACATTTAAATGAACTTAATATAAATAATGAGCTCTATGAAAAAGAATGAAGATTAAATTCCGAATAGAATTATTACTACATTGAATTGTACAAATTTGATTCAGCACAAATTTTAGTATGAATGTGATGTAATTTTTATTTAATTTTAATCCTTGAATAATTGTGTTAATGCTAGTAACATCATATATGTAAAAATGAGAAGCGACATAAATTTGTTAAATATATACTGTATATTATTAAGTAAATATTATTATGTTTAAATATATTTGTGGAAAATTCGGACATTTAATTGAAATGATTTAATATTTAATATAAATGTAATATTGTATATATTTAATATTAGTAGTAATGGAATTACTAATTATCTTATTATTGGTATACTAATAAATCGTAAAATATTATTTCTTATTTTATGCATTCTTAAGTTGTAAATCGAAGACTGCAATATTTATTAGTTAATTTTCTTCGCTGTTAATATATGTAATTTTATTTTACGAAAAAAATTAATTACCTATAATAATATCTGAGATGCTTATATTAAAAAACAGTCAAATAATAACAGACTATTCTTTATATGAATTATTATTATTAATTATTACTTTATTCTATAGTGAAAGCCAAGTACTTGGCAAGATTATTTTTAATATAATAATTCTATTTTAGTTGCCAATGCTAAAGATTCGAGAATCGTAGGCGGCCAAAATGCCAATATCAGAGATTTTCCGTATATGGCTTCCATAAAATTAGCTAAAAATATCCATAAATTAGTATGCGGCGGTTCAATTATAAGTGAATATCATATACTCACTGCAGCTCATTGTTTCATAAACTTTGAGAAAACTGATTTAATAGTTTTTCTCGGTAATTCATCTGCCCCAACTGCTTCTGACACTGAGCCTTATTATACAATTGAACAAATCAATGTTCATCCAAACTTCGTTGGAAGTGTAGAACCGTCGACAAGTGTACATAATGATATTGCTATTGCCAAGGTAAGGTTAAACCTTTTCATTATATTACATAGTATTTGTTTATTAATAAAATTCCTTTACGTCATATATAATATTTATAATTGTACAGAATATGAAGTGTACTTGAAAATTTTTAATAAAAAAAATATTTTAAATCTTATTACAATAAATTTCTAATTATTTGACAATATTCATAAATATCTTAGGGATATTTACAGAAGTTTTACAAATTCAATGAGATATTGTTTGGTACTGAACACTGTATTGCTTTATCATTACAGTACAATTTTTAACTAAAATAAATTATTGTCAATATAAAATACTGTGAAAATAGATAATGTATTTGAGCTCATTCATATACAAGTTTCATTATCATTTTTAATGGTTGTTTACTTTTAATCGAAACAAAGAGGAAAAATACATCTATAATATTTATAATGCGTAACTGTTTAACGCTAAATATATATTGTAAAATATTTCGTGTCATTAAGAGATATAATTTGTCGAAATAAATATAATATTAAATAAAAAACAAAAGCCTTTCCAGAATGTTTATAACTAGCTGAATTTAATAAACGTATAAAATGTAATGAAAATAATTTCAGGCATTTTAATTTTTAATACATACGATAAAAACATTCAATTTAATAAAATATCCAATGTATTTCAATTCAAATTGTTTTATATATTAGGTGGGGCCACGCATTTTGTTTAATGAATTTCAAAAAAAAATAGAGCTTCCAAACGTGGACACCAGGCCGGGTTCACTCGCTGTAATTATCGGTTGGGGAAGAACGTCGTATCCGTTTGGTGAACCTGCTAAAGTATTGCAAAAAGCTTTAATGACAATTGTTACGAATAAAATGTGTGAACGCGATCTTCCATTTTCACTTCATAGTCAAAATATCTGTGCATTTCAAAGAGAAAGAGTCGGCGTATGTTACGTATGTATTGAATATATAACGAATTTTAATTTAATGTAAAAAAATAACTATACGTAACTACTTATGTTAATTTTTTTGAATATTTAAAATATTATCTAGGGTGATAGCGGAGGACCATTGGTTAGTCAAGGGAAAGTCATTGGCATTTGTTCCTTTATTCGTCCTTGTGCTATGGGTGAACCAGATGTATATACACGAGTGTTTTCTTACTTAGATTTCATACAGGCACATATATCCACGACAAATTAAATATTACCTTCTATAAACATTCAGTTAAAATGTAAACTAAAATTTAATGTAAAAAACAAGAAATTAATTAAAAATCAAATATATCGTTTGACACCTAAGTAAAGTTCAATAAAAAATTTGACTATTCATAAAACTGTTTTGATTTTCTTATAATATATTTGAATTATTAATATAAAAACAATACTAAATAGTACAAAATATAAAATCATAATATTTTTAATCTGTGTAAATATGTAGCTGATATACTAGCTTTACAATATATTATACTCTATTCGAGGAAGTGCAAGATTTGAATGAATAAAAATTAGAAAATATAAGATAACGTATATATGCATGCGTATATATATATATATATTAATTTTCCTCATATTATTTACTTTTGTTATGATATTTCATATAATATCATAATATAATTATTCTAAAATGATTATAATACATAATAATTTATGAATTATACAAAATCATAGTAAAATTCGTAAATCTCTTGATTTTATCTTAATTTTATTTTTCCGTTAATTATTAAAATACATACATTACATATAATTGTTTGTCTTCTCTGTCATGCTATTCAAACAAAGTAGTAATCAATTATGTCAACAATATTTTAGAGAAATTCCGTATTACTATATAATCATTTTATGCAGAAATAAATAGAAATTTATAAAATATTACGTATTATAATTTTAAATATAATTGATAGAATTAAATTTTTATTAGAAATAAAAAAAAACTTAGAAATATTTATTTTATTTAATATTTAATTTTATAAATCGGTAATAGTAAGTTTATGTTAACAATGTTTTCAGAATGAAATTTAATAAGAAACTACTAAATGAGAAAAATTTTATTAAATTCTACTTTTAGTTTTATAATTATTTCGAGTATAATCCGAGTATAGTTATTTATCTAGAGCTTTCGTTGTAAATTTGTACCCTAGGTAGACTAATATACAAAATTTACAATATTACTTATGAATTTAATCGTATATAGTTAATATTACCAAATCGAAAAATATTACAAAATAGAAATTTATAAAATGAATTTAATTTATAATAATATTTATATATTACAAAAAAATTACATTCCTTATACATATACTTGTTAATTAAATTTTTAGTGTATATTACAAGTATAGTTTGTATTGTTCAATTTTATTTTAATTAATTAAACTGTTGTTTTATTTTAAGTCTAAATTTTATATAATTATTGTTCAATATTATACAAAATTATCATAATGAATTAATAAAGTTATCTTCTATTATAAATGACTAGACATATGAGTCAATAAGACTTTATTTACTATTTATTTATGATATGATAATTAAAAATGAACGAACATATATAAAAATTCGAATCATCTTTTCATTTCACTCATAAATTTTTACATACTGAAATGTATTTTCAATTTATAATTTACTTGTGTGTAGCATTAAGCAATGGTAAGATAGTTTCACACTTTTTAAATAAATAAAATAATAAGAATTCGAAAATATAATTTGATATTATTACATATGTCGCTTAATAAAATGTATTCGATTTGTGTTATTTTTTATGTGGTAGTGATTCTATTACATTCTTTAGTTTTTACGCTATTTTAGTTAAAACTCTGTATCGGAAATAACTTCAAATTTATCTCATTGATTATTGGACTTTTTTTTTTTTTTTGTCTCAATAAGTATCTCTGGTTTTATGTTTTAGAGCTTTTAATCAGACTCGATAAAATATCAAGTATAATAATAATGTGTTATTTATGGTTATATTTATTTATATTTAATATTATGTTACTTATATTTAATGACCGGTAATTTGGAAAATTTGCATTAAAAAATATTTATTAATAAAAAGAAAAAAAGTAAAAAATTTAATAAAATTATTATATAGTTCATAAACTATTTTAAATTAATTTTCTTATTTAATAATGAATTTTTCATTTAGAAATGTTTAATATATTACTTGCTTAATAAAATTTTCTAATCTTTCTTTTTCTTTATAGCGTACATACATTTGTACGTAATATTTGAAAATAATATTTAATAATAAAAAATATATGTTTACAATATAGTTAATTCAATTTATATATATATATATATATATAAAAGGAAAACAATGATTTTTTTTATAAGATAAAGGATAGGAGTAGGATAAATACAAACAATTTAAATAATTGATAAAAGATTAAAAACGTAATTTAAAGATCGTAAACAACGCTTATATTATTAAATTTATTAATCATAAACAAATTACGAACCTACAATTTAATTCAATAATCAAAAAATAATATGTAACTAATTATTTAAACTATCAGTTGCCTTTGCCAGAATACCTAGAATAATAGGCGGTCAAAATGCAGACATAAGGGATTATCCTTATTCTGTATCAATAAGATTGGAATTGGATAGATATAAACATATCTGTGGGGGTGCAATTATTAGCCATCATCATATACTTACTGCAGCTCAGTGCGTTTATGGTATAAATGCAGAGAGCATCGTAATTTATATTGGGAGGACTTCTGCACCAGATTATTCTGTGCGATCATATACAATTACTAAAATTAAAATACATCCTGAATTTATTGGAAAAATAAAGCCAAATTCAAAGACACACAATGATATCGCTGTCCTAACGGTAAGACGACAATAAATATTTCTTTGAAATATAAGAAAAAGTATATTTAAATTAATATTTCCTTATCGAAGTTCCAATAAATAAGAAATAATTACTGCTAAAATAAAGAATAATTGCAATGAGATGCTTAATACATGTATATATATATTTTACATAATCCACTGAATTCTTTAGAGAGGCTCTTAAAAAAAATGCAACTGTCTTATAGACTACAAAATATGTAATAATTAATATTAATAATTGGGCTTTCTATGCTAATCAAAATACTTTAATATGTTTAATTTGATATGTTTCTTTGCAATGTTTAATTTTCAGTTCTATCTAATGCATATATAATATTTATTGGATTATTACTGATTAATTGTTTTTAATTAATATTTTCTTCGTATGTATAGTGATTATTATGTTTATAAATGACATAATGATGAATATTATTCGAAATTTATGACACTTCTCGTCTTCATCTATTTCTCTAAGATATATATATATATATATATATATATATATATATATATATATATATATGTATATATATATATATATACTACTTTATTATGCTTTTTATTTTCTCCATCCTCATTTATTAACTTCATTTTTTCTATCAATTTATGATATTATTTCAAGATTAGCCATTATGCAAATTACTCTATTTTATTTTTATACGAGTTAGTATTTTTTACGCCAACAAATTAAAGAAAATATAAAAATAATTTTTAAAATATATATCAATTCTTACTTATAATTCCATATGCAAATGGACAACATTTTCTTATGTACAATAATCATTCACGTCACTAATTCGAGATGTTTATACCTAGAATACGATGATGTAGTGGTGGTGGAACCACTTGGTGGTTCGGTCTTCGCATCATTTCGATTAATTGATTTGATAGATTCAGTTGTATAAATATATCTTATTTAGCGCATATGTTACTGAATTACCAATTATAAATTGGATTTTAAACTTTATAATTTTAGTGCTATTTGACAATGGCAATGTTGTTCCCTTGTAAAATAAAGAAAAATTAAAATATACTTCTACCATAAATAAAATTTGAAAAAAATTCTCAAAACTATTGACCATTTTTGTTGGCAATATAATTTTAAAATAGATTAATTATTTAACAATTTATTATTTATTCTATAAAATTTATAGCACATTAATATTACCGTTAAAAATACAAATTTTATATAAAATAACATAAAAATCTGTAATAGTAAAAAAATTAAGTAAAAAAATGAAATGTATTTGTTTCCATTGTTTACACTAAATTTTTATAAATAATCTTTCACTGAAAAATGACTGTTGATTCTCTCAAATACTTATATATGGAATTTTTTTTTTAATATATAAAAAATTTTATACGTAAATAAATCAAATTATAAATTATGAACTTTGTTAAATTGTTCGGTATATACATATCTATGCTATTAAAAAAAAAAAAAAAAAAAAAAAAAAAAAGTAATAAATAATATTTGTATTATAAAAATAAATATTTAACATTAAATGAGAAAAGATATAACTAAACTTGGTTAAATTGGTGATTTTTCTGTTGCTTTGAGATACAAAAAAAAAAAATATGTAACACATTACTTGATGAAGATTGTAAATTAATTTTTCTTGAATTACAAAAAATTTAATGTAAATATTTTAGCAACTTGATATAAATGATTCACGGGTATTAACATGTTCCCTCGAAACTACAATTTTCGCTTAGCAATACTGAATAACTCAGTATTTAAAGGCTTTATACAGTCTCAGTTGAATAAAATGTTGTATTATAATTAAATATCAATAAATAAGGACTTAATATTTTTGGTATATATTATAATTATATTTAAGCAAACTGTAATAAAATGAAACCAATCACAAAATGCAAATCAAGCTAATGTTGAAAGCATAATGCAATGAATATGATTCGTTTCACAAACATAAGCGATATTATTTAAAAAATATTTTATATAATAATATCTCTCCTTCGACAGACGCTTCAGTATATTATATTTAGTGGGAATCAAAATCAAATTAATCTTCCAACTGCAGACGTTGAGGTTGGGGCTAATGCTGTTATTACTAGTTGGGGTATGACATCTTATCCTGATGGTTACACCGCTACGACATTACAAAAAGCTTCAATGGTAATTGTTCCTAATTCTGAGTGTGCGAATAATCTTCCATTTCCGGTATATAACGAAAATCTCTGCGCTGTACAAGGTCCAGGAGTTGGCACATGTTATGTAAGCCTTGTTTATTATTAAAGTATATTTTTTATTGCATTATTAGATAATGATTGCATTCATTATTGAATTTTTTTTTACAGGGTGATAATGGCTCACCGTTAGTCAGTAATGAAGTACTCGTCGGTATTTCTTCAATTGTTCATCCATGCGTCACTGGTAAACCGGATGTATACACAAGAGTTTTTCCTTATCTAAACTTTATCACATCTAGCATGACAACATCTTCAAGAACTTTACTATCTTATATAGGAATAAATAATTAATTTAAAGTAACTATAAAAACGCAAATTTCTGAAAAAGTAAATTATTTGGCAGAAATAGCCTATCAATAGTTTGTATCGATATATATATATATATATATATATATATATATATAATAAATATAATTTTTTTTTTTTTTTTTTTTTTTATATATAACATCAAAAACATATCACACGCTATAAGAATACTTATTTATAAGTACAAAATAATTGTTAATTATTTATAAGAGAAAAGTCAGAATTTCTTCATACCTCAACTATTACTTAGTTTCGCTTTTCGGCATTGCAATTAAAATTTTGAAAGATATTAATTATATTGCAAATGATACACTATATTAGTTTATTATAATGTATTATGTTTGTATTATGTTTCATCTAAAATTTTATATAATTACATTATTTTTTCATGTTTATATTTAATCATAATTATTGTGATCATAATATTAATTCATATTTCATATCCAGGAAAATTAAACATAAATAATATTATCAACTTATTGTAACAATAAACGTTTAAAAATTCTACAAAACCAGAAAATATATATCATCTTCAAAGTGAATTTCTAAATAAAAACAGTTCGTATTAGAATAAATAATTCTTTTTATATAGATTCCTATATTTTTTAATTATTTTTCTTAAATGATATTTAATGATAAATACAAACTATATTCATAATATTATTTATGATGAATTAATTCTAGATATAAATTTAATTGGTTAGTAATAATTTTTTCTTGGCAAAAAATTTTTCTAAAACTGCTAATTTCTTGTTTGAAAAATTAATTTCCAGTATGAAAAAAATAATATAATAAATCATCAATTAATAATTCTATGTTATTATTAATACAATGTTAACATTTAAAATTTTAGTATTAATTTGTTGTTCAATTTTTAGAAAAGCCTGTTCATCAAATATGTTAAAAAAGTAAATGATTAAACATTATCATTGGATAGAATTTGAAAAAATTCAATTTCTTACACTAAATTAATATTAAATTAATTATTGTTCGCACTTTTGAAGATTTAAAATTACTTTTGAAGATATTAAAATTGAAGTTGAAAAACGTTTACAGTATCCAAAAAAATCTATTAATAATTTTATTAAATTCAATTTCTGAAATTTTAATGTTTTTAATTTAATAATTTTAGCTTCTGTATTTTTTCATTCGAACGTTTTGCTCTGAAATATCATAATATTCATGCGTATTTGTATTCTAGTGTTATGTAGATTATTTTTTAAAAATTAAGATTCATATAAATTTAACGAAAATTGAAAATTATAATAAAATCGTACATAATTTTTTATACATAACTAAACATATATCATTAATATCTTTAATTATAAAAATATAAACAAATATTATAATCTTATAAATTTTATTTCTAATGGTATATATTGATTATATAATCGAATAGTTAATAAATAGATAATATATGTTATCTTTTAGAATACAATATTTCTTACAAAATTTAATTCATCATATCTAAGAAATTTAAATCAATGAATTTAATTAATTAGTCTTTGCCCGTTCTATGAAATATTTATTTTGTATTTAATTAAATTCTCTATTCAGAGCTTAAATTTATTTATTTATTTATAGTTTTATTAATAAATGACGATATTTTATATGTAATTTTACTCTAATTTAAAAGAATCTATGTCTAATTAATATTAATTAAAAATTTTAGCCTATTTATTGATAACGATGACAGTTTGTTGATCACAGTATTATGTTTCTTTTTATGTAAAAAAAATGATAATTACACGAAATAAAAATATACAGAGATTCGGTGCGCCATGAAGACTTTCAATATTTATCACAAATATTGAGTTAAACTACGCTGTAAATGCTCATAATGTTGTTTATATAAGAATTTTAAAATCAGTGTTACGCTATAAACGTAAAATATTTTCGTATCATTTATATGAATTTGAAGTTTTATGCAAGATATAAATCATAATATTTTTTAACATAATTAAATAAAAAGGAACAAATATTTGACATAATATAAAGAAGAAGACATTATTTCTTAATAATTCAAAGAATTGCTTAAATGAAAATTAATATGTAGAACATTGATTGGCTAGGCAGTTGAACAAACAAGTTGCTTGTTATGGTTCTTATGTGATAATTATGAACTAAATGTGCCTATATAATGTGTTAAATAAAATTTCAGTATCTATACAGTTATTGGTTAATGTCAAAATGAATATTCAAATAGTAATTTACTTGTGTTTAGCATTAACCACTGGTGAGTATTGATAGTTTGAAACATATATTATTAATGTATTCGATTGTTTAAAGTTTATATATTTAATTTAGGAAAATCTTAAATGTGATTGTTTTCTTGAAACAATAATATTTAATTGTTATAATATCAATTAAACAAATAATATAAAGTAGATTATGTGTATGTATGTATATATATATATATATATATATATATATATATATATATATAACATTTTGTATTTTATTTTATAAATAATGTAAAGTTCAAAATAATTTTTTATATTGATATTAAATCATCTACTAAGCCTTCACAAATAGTTAAGCTTTAAAACAGAAGATAATATTGACAATAATAATGTAAGCGTATAGTGCAAACAGAAATATTAACCTGAAATATTGAGTTATGTTTAAATATCATTACTTTCAACTATAAAGTATAACCGATAAGAATATTTTTTATACTACATTAGCGAAACTCTTTAAACTATAATGTAATTTAAGATATTAATAATAAATCATTTATAACTTCATGACTAAAGGGATTATTATTATGTAATTGTAAATATATAATTTATATAAATAATTTAATATTTCCTCGATGTTCTGAACCAAAAATATTAAAAAATGATACTAAAAATATTAAATTATGAAAATTTAGAAATAAGAAATGTATTTTTGAAAAATATTTATAATAAAGCATATATATTAATGCGTATTCAGAATACAAGCTAAATTAAACAATTTAATTTATTATAAAAGTCAGATCAACGTATAATCAGCATTTCATTAAGTAAGTAATGAAATTTTTTTATAAAATGTTTATCAATTAGGTCAATAAAAATAGTACATTATAATAATATTTTGCTTTTACATTTCAAAATAATTATAATATTTAAAACATTGTTACCAAAATTTTTTTATTAATCTTTTTAAAATGCTCCGTTAAAGAGTAAGAAAATACATGAAAATTTCTATTATGTTATTATGAATGTTTGTAAGAGTAATATTTTTTTTTATTTACTTTTAAGATTAATCTATATTCATATTATTAATATATATTTCAATTTGATATTCGTTTTTATCCAATCGAAAAATAGTTTAGAAATAATTGCGATAACAAAATACTGTATGCCTTTCGTTATTAAGATAAATATTAAATTAAAGATAAATTATGAAAATATTATAAATTGAAAAGATTAAAATAATTTTAAATATATATAAAAATTAGTTTAATCTTGTGTTTCCCATTGACAACTGTTTTTAAGAAAATAATAATTGCGCACTATACTTTTTATATTAAATTATAATGTCATATATTAATTATTTATTTAACATATATTTTCATTTTTGGAGATAAAATTTTGTTACAAGATAACTATGCAAGGAATGTAGTTAATTGAAAAATATTATTAATACAGAAAATTTAATATATTAATAGTAGAATAGTAAAATATTGATAGTAAAAATTGTAGTAATAATTACATACAAATATATCGAAGATAAAGATTTTTTCTGTAAATTCTAAATCGGCTTGTAATACTTCAACAACATTTATTTTTATAATTATAAATACAAATACTCTTAATAATAAATTACTATATGCATATATATGTAGTTATATATATATATATATATATATATATATATATATATTTTTTTTTTTTCATTAAAAAACATGTACATAGTAATTTATTATTGTTTTATATGTATTAAAAAAATATATAAATATATAAATATAGAATTTCCAATATACATTTCAAATAGTCATTTAAATATTTTCAGATGTGCTTAGCAAACATGTCAAGATCATTGGTGGTAAAAAAGCCAATATAAAAAAGTTTCCGTACATGGCCTCCTTAAGATATGATACGAATAATAAGTTTTTTTGTGGTTGCACCATAATTAGCAATCAACATATTATTACGGCAGGTCATTGCGTAGATGGTTTATTAGAATCAAGTATTAGAATTTATGCAGGGAGTAGTAATTTAAACGAACATGGAATTGAATATTCAGTTCGCAAAATCGATTTTCCTGAAAATTACGTTTGGAAAATTATGGAAGATAATGGATCGAAAGTTAAACATGATATTGCTGTTATTACGGTATACTTGCAAATATTAATTAATCATTACGATTAAATGATAGATTACTGCATTCAAATTAATTGTGAAATATTTAAATTTATTAATAAAAAGTTAGGTACTTAAAATTTAGATGAAATACTTATTTCATACTAATTTAGATTTATAAATAATTACACAAATACGTACAATTTATATTATTAATTTTTTTACGATTTAGCATTATTAATAAATACACTAAATGAAATTATCATTTATATTAATTATTTCACATTATATAATATTTATTTGCTATTGCATATATATGTATGCGTGTATATATACAAGTAAATATAATCTATCAAAAAAAAAAATTGTAAATTGCTTAATCGTTTTTATCTTGTAAATTAAAATTTTCTAATTTTGCAACTTTTAATTTATTGCGCTTTGTATAAATGTAATATTAATATTTTAAGAAAATATATAATTAAGACTTAATGCAGATTTATCCAAGCATTGAATTCAACGAATATCAAAATAAAATCGAACTCGCAACAGAAGATTTTGTGGAAGGCTCCATTGGTACAATATCTGGATGGGGATGGGTAAAATATCCAAATGGTGAAAATCATAATAAATTACATTCGCAAAAAGTAATGATTTTATCAAATTACGAGTGTCAGCCTATCTTTCCACTTCAAATTTATGATCATCAAGTGTGCACTCTTGGTAAAAAAGGAGTCGGTTCTTGTTTTGTAAGTTGTACAAACTATTAACTTAATTTAAAATTAAAAAAAAATTAAATACAGTAAAAATAATTGATTTTAAAAGTACAGTATTATATAATGCAAAAATTTAAGGAATAGAATTTATATGCTATTTGAATATTATACTTTTTTTTCTTTTTCTTTTTTTTTTTTTTTTGTTAATGGAGAAATAAGAGTGAAATTATTCTCAGATAGCAATTTGTGTGCGTGTGCGTGTGTTTGTTTGTAAGCACAAGTAATATGCTTCGACGAAGAACAAATTCATACCATATAGATTATGATTTGAAAATTCAAAATCGATCTGCTTTAACATTCAAAGAAAAATCAATTTAATTGATATTGATTAGATGTTTATTTCATTGATTTGATATTACGATTAAATCTGAATTTTTTCATAATTAACAATAATAATAATAATAATAATAATAATAATAATAATAATAATAATAATAATAATAATAATAATAACGATTATGTATTTTAACTTTCTAACATTGATAATTTATTACTTCATTATTCATTTTTTTAGGGAGATAGCGGTGGACCGCTAGTAATAAATGGGAAACTTTATGGCGTCTCTTCCCTAATTGAACCTTGCGCAACAGGGACGCCAGACATATTTACACGAATTACCCATCATTTGGATTTTATTATGAAAATTATCGAGCCATAAGTGCAAACTCTTGCTTGTTTTGAATAAGTTTTCAATCGTAAAAAAGTTAAAACATCTATATAAATGTGATACAAGATTGAAGCAGTAAAACTTGCTATGTTAATACTTGATTTGAAAAAGCATTATATTATATTATATTTCTGTATTAAAGAATTTACGTAAAATAAAGTCTGATTAGATCTAAAGTATAATAACTAAAGTATTTTAAGTATTCATTTTTAAATTAACATGACATCGATAACGTTAAGAAATGTGTAAATAGGCCATTCAATTATTAAAAATACGATTTTATCCAAATATAATCTTAGATTTTGAAGAATCGAAATCTGTAATGATATTTGCATAATAGTATTGATTTATTTAAAAATAAAAATAAAAATCAAGTTAAATTCATCAATAATAATATTAATAATAAAACTTAATGCAATTTAATACAGTGCAATATTATTTTTTATGATAATTCTTTGTTTATGCACGGCATTTAAATTAAAACAATCTTAGTTTATATTAAGTAATAAATATGACAAATTGTTTAGCCAGGTTAATTTAAAGAAAGGACAAATTATTTTAATGGAGATATTAAAATATTGAATTATTTACTCACACAAGCAGAATTTATAAATTACTTAGAGTTATTTAGAGTCATTTAGATAATTAATTTATACGTAATTAATTTTGAAATGTTTTTAGTTAGCAATGACGATGTATTAAATATATTTTAATTAATAAAAATAATTTGGATTTATTAAATAATAAATTTAACTTATTTTTATTATCATTTTATTTCATATTCAAATATTAATTCTTAGAATTACAAAAAAATGAGTACTTGTATTAAAATAAATAATTAAAGCGTAGGTCACTCAATCATTGTTTAAGGTTGATTCATATAATCATAATACAATATTATTAAAAGTTCTATCTGTGAATTAATTTTGAATAGTGAGACACGTGAATAAATATTGCTTTATTTAACATTCTGATTTTAACATAATATTTTATGTTAAAGTGATACGTATATAATAAGTTCTTTCAGTTTATAATTTTCATTTATATTTTTTTTTCTAAAATGTATTTCAAATTAGTAATTTGTTTTTTTCTACTATTAAGCTCTAGTAAGTTAAATTAATATTTCCTACTTGGAAAAGTATTCTGTAAATATTATATTAATATAATTACGCAAGAGTGGCATATAATTAATAATGATTTAATATATTGTAAATACACAGTCATACTATTCAGTAATGAATATACATTACGATTTAGTAATTAATACTGTCCATTTGTACTATTAAGAAAAATTAAGAAAGTAAAATACCTCTAATAGCATATATCTTTAAATTTTAAATACACCTGTAAAATATAGTAATCCAAATAATCACATTAAAAAATTATATATCATCCGATGAAGATTTAGTAATTGTTGATTTTTTAACTAGAAAAATTTTTTATAACTGTTTTTTTTTTTTTTTTTTAGTACAATTCTTCAAAAGAAATTGTTAAGGAAAATTAATTTTTTTTATGTACGTATTATAGTAAATTATATATATATATAAGAAAATTATGGATAAAAAAAAGAAAGTATTTCTAACTTTCTTTCATTATTGAAGTATATTGAACGATTAAAAACGTTTAGTTTATCAAATTTAAGTTATCAAATTTTTTTTAATTAATCGTATACTTCGATCAAATAAAATAAGGAGATTAGAGGAAAATTTTATTTCGAAATATATATTAAATTTAAGTCATGTATAAGAAGGTAATAATATTTAATCTTAATATTTATTGCAATAACAATATGTAAGTAATCTGTATTGTGAATTAAGTATGTGAAAAAATGTATTTAGGTGTATAAATATCAATTTTTTTTTTTATTTTTTACACTGTATTGTTCGTTAAAATGACTACAATTGTTCGTTAAATTATGTGCATTGTAATTTTCATGTATTTATCTAATCTCGTTATAATTTATTAATTAGTTTTTGAAAAAAATATATTTACTAAATTACTTTCAATGATTCTTTCCTATGAAAATATAAACTGTGTAAACTGCATATATAATAATCGTTTATAAAAATAGTAGTAATATAATGTACTTTTTAGAAGAAAATATTATCTCTTTACAGATTAATTAAAAAAGTTAATAGAAAAAAAAAATGATATTACAAAATAAATTAAAATGTTAAGAATATTGAAAAGTGTTTACTCTCGTGCGATTTGAATTATTGTACAACATATAAACAAGTCAATTTCATTATTTAAAAAGGCCAAATTTTTAATTAATATGAGAATTATATTTCTATTTGATCATATAAAGAAGTAAGTTTGTAATTACTAAAATATGCTTATCGTCGGTGCTTTTCTTTCATAATAATGCAGTATTAATATTTTTCATGGTAAGCTTATGTGTTCTATTAATGATCAATGATTTGGTAATGAATAACTATTTCATGATGCGTTCATCTCAGTAATGTTTCTTCTAAATATACATATTACAAATAAATATCAAATTTCTTTATATATTAATAATGTTTTTCTTTACTTATGATTATTGCCAAGCACTTTATCTCCGCTAATGCAACTGACCATGATTTTAATTTTGATATATTTTCAACATAATTGATCAACGGCTAACTAAGATTTGGATTCCTTGATTTAAATATGTAAACTTTGTGATGAACAATTTTACTTCGTTAATTGTTATATGTATATAAATAAGTTAATTAGAATGTCTATCATTTATCAGATACATTAAGAAAATCATTATATAATTATAATTATAATATATATATATATATATATATATATTTTTTTTTAGATTCCTTAAGTAAATTTACAAGAATTATAGGTGGGAATGATGCTGATTTAGAAAAGTATCCGTACATGGTATCTATAAGGACAGTTAATGGTGAAGGTCATTATTGCGGTGGTACAATCATTTCTAATCGTCATATTATATCGGCAGCTCATTGTTTTGATAAATATCATCATTCCGAACTCAAAGTTTTTACGGGTAGTATTTTATCAACTTCTGATAAACCTAATTATAGAATCCTAGACGTTAATATTCATCCTAAATATACTGGCATAATATCAAGATTAAGTACTTTATACAATGACATTGCTGTTGCAACGGTAATTAAAAATTATTTATTTACTATATGCTGAATCTTATTTCTTTCATTGTATATTCATACTTCCAAATAAATTGAACCTTGTAAGATTGATTTTTTGTAAGGTACCTTTTTGTTTTATAAAATAATTATTGAAATAAAGCTTATATTTTATAAATTCTATTTTTATTCAATGCAATTCGTTACCTAAACATTATTTATTAGCGTCAAGCATAAGTAATAATATATATATTTCTAGCATTCGTGATATGAAATCAATTAAATAAATATTCGTGTTAACATTGATACACAACAAGTTTTATTTCTGTGTTAAATGTTCAATTTGAATAAAATTATTGTTTTTACGAAGTTTTTAATTTTGTAAAACAACCATTATAATGATCAATTGTATAAAATAATATGAATGATTTTACGATTAATGTTTTTCAATAATCTTTACGAACTGAAACATAATCTAAATAAACATTGCAATTAATCATAAGTAGAAATTTTTAAATTTAGACTGGTTTATTCGTAGAACTAAGTCATACAATCTTGAGTATAATCTTATGATGGATTATAAAATTACCACAACATCGTGATACAATAAAAGTGAATATTATTAAAAAATATTAATGAAATCTTGAAAGTAAACATGTACAGTTGCTGTATTCGTGTTACTTTACTATTTAATTATAATTTTAAATTGTTCTAAACTGTGAGCATAAAATTATCGATAGTTTATAAGTAAGTTTCGATTTAAAAAGCAAAAAAAAAAAAATAAATAAATAAATAAAAAAAAAATTAAAAAAAAAACTATGAATATTTAATATAATTAATCATGGATATTTTAAAAGGCAAAATTTGTATTATTAACACAATTTTTAATTCAACAGGTTGATCGATGCATTGAATTTAATCAATTTCAAAATAAAATAAACTTCCCGAGCAAAAATATCGAGAATGAAGCAAATGGTAAAATTATAGGTTGGGGAATGACGCACTATCCAGGTAAAATTTCTGAAATACTTCAAGAAGCGTCTGTATCAATTCTTAATAACACTGAGTGTGCTAAGTTTGTTCCACTTGCCATTCATGACGGACAAATTTGCGCCTTTCAAAGTGTAGGAGTAGGTACATGCGTAGTAAGTAATTATAAAATATTGCAGTGATTGGGAAATTTGAGACCTCGATATACATATTTATTTACTTCTATAATTTTTTAGAATTGTTAAAAAACATTTTTTTTTTTCAGTTGTTTCTATTTAGATTTTAGTTTCGTACATTGGCTTATTTTATATGAATTTTTGTAGAAAATTGTTTATAACATTTATTAAATGAACAAAAAAAAAAAAAAAAAAAAAAAAAAAAAAATATATATATATATATATACGTATATATAAATAAAAGAATGTTAATCTTTTTAGGGCGATAGTGGTGGTCCATTAGTTAGTAGTAATGGAGAATTCGTCGGAATTGGTTCATTTATGAATTTGTGCGCTTTGGGTGAACCGGATATTTTCATTAGGGTCTATTACTTTATTGAATTTATTAAAGACGTTATGTCTGCTACATATTTCCCATCTTGCTCTATTTCCTAAGATGCAATATCAGAAGCATAATTTAAATTAATACAATTTGTTATATGTTCTTCCTTTTAAAATATGGAGAATAAACTTTAATTTACTTTGTATATACAAAATATGCCACATATTTGTATATATAAATTAAAAATAGAAGAGTCAATAAATATATATCAAAACAAAAAATTCCTTATTTTATAGTTGAGTTTAATTGTTAGTAAGTTTTCGTTTACTTTTGATAATACAGTATATCACTCTATGAATATTGTATTACCACATTATTTGTATTGAATATAAATTTATTCCAAAGCCACCAAAGTATAATTCTGTGTTTTTTAAATTATGCTATAGCGATAAATTAAATAAAAGATTGCTAGTTTTAAGCAATATAGTTTATTAACCAGAATTAGAACATAATAAATAATTTATATTTACTAATCTTATTTAATAGTATTATTAGAAATTAGTAAATTTCGTAAGTATTATTTAAATATAAAATTTTCTACAAAAGTATTTAAACGTTCGAGTTATGATTGTTTATTTTCATTTATAACCTAATAAAAGCTAACATTAAATATGTTGAATTGTACTGACGAGAAAATTGCTTTCGTTTATATGTTAATGCGTTTAACATATTTATAAAATAATAAAAAAAACAACAAATTATAATTATACAAGTTATATATAATACTCAACATAAGGAAATTTTGAAAAACGAAGAAAGTATCTATTGTAAAGACCGTCAAAATAATTCTACCATTGCAGTTTAACTGGTCAGTATAAATATTTATCATTTATATTTATATTTATTATTCATTGTTTAAAATAACATTCCAATTTAACATTCCAAAACTATTTTAACTCTGTATTTTTACATTTCTACGATTCCACATATAAAATTAATCATCAACTATCCAGATAAAAACAATTAAATTGAAGTTGCTTATTTCAAATTGAAAAATTAATTTTTATACTTTTCGTGCTCCACATAAAATAAGAATATTAAAAATTCAATTAAAAATTTTATATATTATTATTTATAATATTATTTTAATTATTAAAATAATCTCTCTCTCTCTCTCTCTCTCTCTCTCTCTCTCTCTCTCTCTATCTCTCTCTCTATCTATCTCTCTCTGTGCGCGTGTGTGTGTGCGTGTGTGTGCGTGCGCGCGCGTGTGTACACATTATAACGTATTATAATTCAATAAATGGATAAATTAATTGAAAGATTTTCGATACCAAACTCTGAGTATTAATTAAAAAAAAAAAAAAAAAAAAAAAAAATTATAATCCACCCCCTTTCTATATATGAGTATTTCCCATTCTATATTTTATATATAACGTTATTTTAAAAGAAATATGAAATAAGGATTTGAATATTGTATTTCTAAATAATCAGAATTACATGTTATTTAAAGTACTATTAAGTTCTTTTACTTCTTTGTGAGATATGAAAATTTATTGATATAAATGTAAGCAATATTTTATACTTTTAATAAATATTCACACTCAGAATAAACTTTTGCCATTTTCAATTAATATAATGTAGATGTTATTTCAAATTGTAATTATATATTTTAATTACATAGTATCTAGATTGTAATTATATATTTTATAATTTTTAAATACATATGTATATTTTCAATGTACGAGGCAAGATGTTATCAATCATATTATCTTTTTTTTTTTTTTTTTATTACGTTCTATAAACATTCAAGCATACAACCTGAATTATTTTCCTCCAACACTTTATATTTCCTTAAAGTTTATTTTTATTTCTTTTTCATAAATGAATCACTTTGAATAATGTTTCATTATTATTTCTATTATAATATTTGGTCTTCTAAAAAAAATACATCAAAAATTCTCATTAGAAAACTTTACTTGCTTAAAATGAACAAATTTTTGTTACATTAATCAAATTAGACAATAATTATATTTTGCATTTATTGCTTTCTTTATGCATTCTTTCAATAGTCAAATATAATTTGAACTTTATTGATTTATTATTGAAAATAAATTGGCTACTTCGTTACAACCAATAGAAATAAAAAAAAAAAAAATTAATGATTAGAATCTTATTTGTTTTTAAAAATTGAAACAAAATATTTATTTATATGAAAAGCAGTTAAATTATATTTATGGGAAACAGATATAATTTATTCTTTAATACAATGTTTATATTAAATATTAAATATAAATTTAAAGGGCAGCTTATAATGAATTAATTAAATAGATTTTAAATTAAACAAAGTCTTTGCAAATAGAGAAAATATTTTATTGATTTTTAAAGATTAAATATTTTATTTTAAAATATTCGCGAATCTATAATAAATATAAATATGTTTTAAATTATATTAATGGAATAATTAAGATATATGGGTACTGCTATTTTATCTATTTTATCGATAATAACATGACGATTATTTTTGTCAATATACGTTACACTTGAAATTTATTTCTCGTTACGGATATTTCATATTTATTTAACATTAAACTTTGACGAAAATAAAAATAAATGGTTTGATTAAATTATGTCTAATGTAAACTTAATTATATTAATTAGTTTAAACGAATATAATTATTATTTAATTATTCGTATAAATTATTATTTACACGCATAACTACAAATGAAATAAATTGCTAATTGAATATAAAAATTTATTTTTATACAAATTAATTTATATTAAAATTTATGTCAAAAACAAATGATCTTAATAAATTTATAGATATATGCATAATAATATAATCAAGAGATAATCAAAAGCATATTTTTATCAATTAGTACTATTCATCGAAAACAAAGTATCGAAAGATGTCCTCGAATTATCTATTGTTGAAGAGTATTTTATTACTTTATATATCATTCGCTTTATTTTTGCATTAATTAGACATATGAATAAATATTGTTTTATTTAATATTTTCATAATTATTAAATAAGGTAGCTTATATATCAAATTATAATTTTTTTTAAAGCGTTAAATTAGCATTGGAAATTTTAGTAGGTATTAAATGAATGTGAATTTAGTAATTTTCATTTAATTGGCATTGAATACTAGTAAGTTGCTTTACTATTTTTTAATAACAAAAATTTCTTTTTAATATAATTCCATTGAAAATACAAAAATTTACATAATAAATGATGTCTATTTTTGTATTAATAAAATAACTATGAAAACTTATAGATATCAAAATATATTGTATATATTAAAATAGTACTATATTTAAGTTCACCGTAAAACGAAAACATATGAATAATTATTTCTTATATAGAATTATTTTAAAAATATTCGTTTTCTTTGACTTAACATAGTATTTTGCTATAATTTAATCTATTGTGATCAAAATAGCTTATATTCATACTGTATAAAATTCATACTATTAAAATATATAATTTTTAAATATATTTCTTTGAATTCATTTAAAAAATTCATCAAAAGAAACATAAAAATTCTAAAAATTTTAAAAGATCTTTTCTCTGCGAAAACTTGAATTATATTTATTCATTTAAATGTAAAATAGATATTTGTATTATTTATAAATATTTTATGTAAAGTAGATTTGAAGGGACTAATAACTGTAAAGTTTAAATCGCTAAAATACATGGTTTTTTGTAAATATAAAACAATATTTTTTAAGTTTTTTGTTGTCATTAGTACCATATTATATTATTATGATATAATAATTCAAGAATTTTTTACAAAATTAATGAATTTACTTCACTTGCAATTACTTTTATTTGAAATTGAGTTATATAAATACCAACACACATAAATATATACATATATAGTGTTAACATTTATGCTTATATCTTAAATGCTTATATATTAATAATACAATATGATTGATATGATAGTTATTATGGGTATAAAATGAAATATAATTTTTGTATAGTTTCAGATTTCCTTTACATACAATTCAAAATTGTGATTGTGAAAATAAATAGCAAATAAATATTAGTAACATAAAAATGTAAATATAAATATTTATATTGGGCTATGCGAATGTATGTATGTACATGACAGAAATTTAAATTGAAATTTTACAGTGAAAGTAATAAAAAAAATATGAGAATTTATAATATATTGTTAAAGATAATCTCATTACTTTAATTTTTATTGCTATAATTATTCAATTGCAAGCAATTCATTTTACTACATAAATATACATGTCTACATAAGCTATTGTATTAAAGAAAATTTAATCTTGATATTAAGACAATTTTATTAAAAACATGATGAATATCTTTAATATAATTATGTGTATTTTTTATAAATATAAAAAATAAGAATGTAGATTTACAGTGTCGCACAACATCCAAAGTTATGTAAAAGATTCATACTAGTTTTAATAAAATTTAAATATGAATAAACTCTTGTATATACATCTGGTATACCTGTGGCACATGGGCGGGCAAACGAAGAAATGCCAATAACTTGTCCATTACTAACCAATGGCCCTCCGCTATCACCCTATGAATTTATATAAAAGTTTATTCTAAGTGTACGTATTCGTAATAAATATACAGACTCAATAAAACAAATGCATAATTTTAAATTGCGCTGAAAATTACACCAATGTTACACAAACTTTATTTTTTAATTTTATATTTTTATGTTAAATAAATATATAAAACTTACAAAACATGTACCAGCTCCCTCCTTTTGAAATGCACAAATTTGCTGATCATATATTGGTTGCGGAAATACATTTACACAATCGACATTTGAAATAATTTTCATCGATATTTTTTGCAACTTATTGAATAATTTACCCATTGGAAACGATGTCCATCCCCAGCCAACAGTCATACAAAATTCTCCAGAATGATTATTGTTCTTTGGAAGATCTATTTTATTTTGATAATCATTGAATATAATATATTCGTCAACCTGTTGAATGAGTTCTATTGTTATGTACATTCAAAATTTCTAAACAAATGCATAGGAAATTTATAATTTGACTTTTGCATATATTGTTAAAAAATTGAAGTATTATACACTCAATAAAATTTAATAACAAGAAAATGATTAATATTTTATATTATTTTTAAGATTTTCAAGATTTTTTATTTTACATT